TCCGGAGACTAGTATCTTCACAGCTGAACCTATATGCTATTCTCTATGCCCTTCGTCTCCTGCTTTCTCGTTTTCAATTTTCCTTTGTGGTTGTCGCTGACTCTCGTAGTGCCCTCATGGCTCTCAGGTCCTTTAATCCGGTCCATCCAGTGGTCGTCGAGATTCAGCATTGGTTTTTTCTTATTACCAGTAAATTCAAGTCAGTTGACTTTTGATGGGTTCCCAGCCATATTGGTGTCTCTTTAAATGAGCGTGCAGACGCTGCCGCTAGGGAAGTTGTCCGCTCTTGTTCCATCTACCATAAAGGTATTCCTTATTCCAACTTTTACCCAGTTAATCATTCCTCTGTCCTTACCTGTCGGCAGGTTTGTTGGTCTTCTGTTACTGGCAACAAACTACGTTCTCTTAAGAGTAGTGTGTCTTCATGGCCTTCCTCCTACCACCGTAACTGGCGGTAGGAAACGGCTCTGGCGAGGTTGCATATTGGCCATACACGCTTCACTCACGGTCACTTAATGGAGCGTCGCTCTGCTCCTTATTGTCCAAATTGCATTGTCCCTCTTACGGTCGAGCATATCCTTGTTGAATGTCCTGACTTCCAGGACGAGTGTGTGTCTTGCATTCCGTCTGTCCCTCGCGGTCGCTTGTCCCTCGATAGAATTCTTGGTGAATCGAATACTTTTGATATCGTTCCTTTATGCATTTCTGTTCTCGTATTGGCATCCTTGGTGATATTTAGCGCCCTCTGATTATTTCACACATTTGATGGTGCTACATAACCTTCCCGGTTTGGTGCCTTCTTTTGATAATTACTTACCCGTTGACAGGGTCGTTGGTCTTCTGTTACTGGTAACAAACTTCGTGCTCTTATGGGTAGCGTGTCCCCATGGCCTTCCTCCAACCACCATAACTGGCGGTTGGAAATGCTCTAGTGAGGTTAAATATTGGCCATACACCTTTAAATCACGGGCACTTAAAAGTAGGACTGCCCTGCTCCTTATTGTCCAAACTGCATTGCCCCTCTTATGGTCAAGCATGTCCTTGTTGAATGTCCAGAATTCAGGACGTGTGTGCATCTTCCTTGCCGACCCTCACTCGCGGTAACTTGTTCCTTCATAGAATTCTTGGTGAATCGGATACCTTTGATATCGTTCGCATTATGCGCTTTTGTTCTCATATTGGCATCCTTTGTAATATTTAGCACCTTTTGAATATCCCTCACATTTGATGATGCTACATAGCCTTCCCAGCTTGGTGCCTTCTTTTGATAATTACATATTAATTTGATAAGTTCAGTTTATCCTCTTTCGTGAGAAATTTGTTCAATGTTTATATTTTGCCAAAATTAGGTACAGGCTGAATCAGTAGAACTCCTCACTTATTTCATAAAGCAGTGTTATTGCACCACAAATTTAGACAAATATTTGAAGAAAAAACTTGGGTTTTGTTCCAACCCAGGTGATGATTATGATTACCTGGCTCCCACCGTGAACATACTTAATACACTCATCTCAGGTGGTAGCTTTTGCATGAGAGAGATTTGCATATACATTGATATTATAAATAATGTATTTGGTAATATATTAGAATGCATGATAGTATTGTATGTTGTATTATACTGTATGATGAATGTCATGACTGGCCTGCTAAGTGAACAGGAAATGATCGTGTCTAATACCTGTGAATGGACAGGAAGAATATTGACCAGGGGTTGGGTTGCCAACTGTCACTTTCAATTTAAGAGAATTTTTTTTATTTAAGCCAATTAAGAATGTTTATACTTTTAGTTATATTAATAGAATGTGTCAAATATTATTTTAGTATGATTGTGTCTGATTGAGAACGATTACTTTTGTAATTAGTTTGATAGTTAAGAATATTATTAATCGTTCGTCATCCCTAGTAAGAGGCAGATACGGGGTGGTGAGGCCGGCGGAGCATTAGTAGTTAGTTGGGTCATGGTCTGGCAACAACTAAAGATATGTAATGGTTTTATTCTTTTGTTTTGTGCTTAAGTTAGATATTCTTATTTGTGATTACAAGATAACATTAAGCCATCTTTATTATTTGATATATATATTATATTGTGATCATTGAGCCTATCAGAATTTGTGTCACATATAAGGAATACATTATTATACGTTACATTTTATATGTGTGTTTGTGTCTCTCTTCAATACCTACTGGTACCAGTGCATAATCTTATCACAGGGATTATGGGATCATACCCCTTGAGGATAGTAAAGGTAATAAGCCTGAGTAAGAAATATTTCTGTGACAGGTACGAGCCAGGTTATAAAGCGGAAGTGATAACAGGTTCAACAAAGTCAGAGAAAGGGAAATGTTGAAGGGACCCTAAAGGTTGTTGTTAAACCGTAAGACTGATGTTGAACAATGCCTTTATTGAGACAACGAGCATTTATTGATGAGTTAAGTGCCTTCACTTTACCCATGTTACTTCCTTGCATCAGTACCATACAAGAGGAATGATACTAAAGAAATCATGATGTATTCATCACAGAGTCAAGCCTTGAGCGGCAACCGACAGGATGGGAAGTGTGTGGTGCCTCCGGCTGACGTCAAGAACGCTGACTCCTTCGATTATTCTGTTTATGTTTCTGATGGTGAGTCCTGTGTAGCAGTAATTTATGTTACCCTGAATGGTGAAATTTAACACCATTCACGGTGAATGATGTTACCCCAAGCCCTGGTGACTGAGTGAATGATAATACCCCAAACCCTGATGGTTGAGTGAATGATGTTACTCCAAACCCTAATGGCTGAGTGAATGGTGCTACCCCCAAGCCATGACGGCTGAGTGAATGGTGCTACCCCCAAGCCGTGACGGCTGAGTGAATGGTGCTACCCCCAAGCCCTGACGTCTGAGTGAATGGTGCTACCCCCAAGCCGTGACGGCTGAGTGAATGGTGCTACCCCCAAGCCATGACGGCTGAGTGAATGGTGCTACCCCCAAGCCGTGACGGCTGAGTGAATGGTGCTACCCCCAAGCCCTGACGGCTGAGTGAATGGTGCTACCCCCAAGCCCTGACGGCTGAGTGAATGGTGCTACCCCCAAGCCATGACGGCTGAGTGAATGGTGCTACCCCCAAGCCATGACGGCTGAGTGAATGGTGCTACCCCCAAGCCATGACGGCTGAGTGAATGGTGCTACCCCCAAGCCCTGACGGCTGAGTGAATGGTGCTACCCCAAGTCTTGACAGCTGAGTGAATGATGTTACCCCAAGTCTTGACAGCTGAGTGAATGATGTTACCCCAAGCCCTGACGTCTGAGTGAATAATGTTACCCCAAGTCTTGACAGCTGAGTGAATGATGTTACCCCAAGTCTTGACAGCTGAGTGAATGATGTTACCCCAAGTCTTGACAGCTGAGCGAATGATGTTTGATGGAAGTTGGTACGTTAAGTTTGGATGCGTGAAGTATATATTAACATTCAGCAGTAGTGATAACATGTCATATTATTTTAGTATTAATTAATTAATCATATCATAAATTTTAAGCGACAAGAAATAATAACAAAATTAGGAAAGCTAATTAAAAATATTAATGAACCAAAACATCCATATTTACTTCCTCGTTCTTCTTGCCAACAGTGAACATGGTGGTTGAGGCGGACCCTTTAAATGGCGTCAAATGTAATGTGGTTGACCAGACGAAGCAACGAGCCCAGAAAATGGTAAGTATTCACAGTATACATACGTATAATTGTCTGCTAAATGTAGTATTGGTTAGACTGATAGCTAAGATACTGACTGACATCAGCAAAAACATTGAAATGATAATCCTAGTTGGTGAGAGGACGAGCGATGGCGCCTCTGTGTGTGTTGGAGGGGGGGGGGGGTATTCACCATACAAGAACTAGTCGTCATTTTAAATTACAAGAGGAGAGACGTTGACAGCTAAGACATGTTCATATTTGCCGTGAACTCTCGGGCAGGCCTCAGTAATGAAGAACTTGTAGGCACTGCACATGGAAGGCGCTCTACGTGGAATGCACTACATATGGAGGACACTATACGTTGAATGCACTACATACGAAGGGCACTATACGTGGAATGCACTACACACGAAGGACACTATACATGGAATGCACTACATACGGAGGGTGCTATACATGAATGTTCTATACAAATATCCATGGAGATTCAGAATGGAAACAACAGTTGAGCAGAGAAGTCGTAGAATCAGCGGTGAGAGTGATGGACACCGCCTTGATCACTTCCTGAGAGTGTGTGAACATCTAAGAGACATTAGAAATATGTGTAGAATAATAAACCCCACATTATATGAGTTAGGAAAACACTATTTGTCAACTATAGATTCTGTTCTTAAAAGATTCCCCCATTTTGCACCCGTAAGATAACGTAAGATTTTAAGGGCTGACGAATGTTAATCTTCTTGTTTGATAAGCTGTTCACTTGAGACAGTTAAGCAAGTCCCAGCTGTGTCTAGGTGCAAGTGACAGGATAAACAACCCATAGGGTTTTCTTCCTATTGGGGAGTGTTGTACATGCTGCTATGACGGTATGTCCACTCACAGGATGAGTGGCGCTGCCCAATAAACTCGCCCCTCGGGGCAAAATTAAAAAATTGTAACTACATTGATGTGTAAGGAGCGTGCACTAAGGTCATATTCTTTGTATCGTTGCATCACAATATCTACATTAACTATCATCTAAAATATTATTGAGCTCCTGCAATTATAGGACACCACATGCGGCTCACTTGATCAAATGTTTCACTTTTCCCCAAACACAGGCACACACACATACGTCCCCAGTGCGGACGCGCGCACACGCACGCACTCACCCCCAATTTCAACTCTGTTGTTTTTCTCATTTCTATCTCTTAGCTCTTCATCTCTCAATTCTTTCCTTCGGCCATCTCTGCCAGATCGTTCATCTCTTTCTTTCAGGTCTCTTATTTAGTTATATTACATCCTCCTCAGCTCCCATTCACCTCTACAGCATCACTGATCTAATACATTCTCTCTCTCTCTCTACTAACTATGTCACTCTAAGAGTGTGTATGAACCCTAAGAAGGAGGAGCATGTGGGCCCCTGCATCACAAGTGTTTAATGAAGGTTTGTGTTGCAGGCACCTGGCTTAGATGCCTGAGTGAGCACCACTTTCACCGGAGGCTTGTGTTGCAGGCACCTGGCTAAGATGCCTGAGTGAGCACCACTTTCACCGGAGGCTTGTGTTGCAGGCACCTGGCTTAGATGCCTGAGTGAGCACCACTTTCACCGGAGGCTTGTGTTGCAGGTGCCGGGATCGGATCAAGTAATGAACGATTTACAGACGAAGCTGATGCAGACGATGGTGGTGGGGGAGACACACAACATCAGCACGCCCAACGGCGTCCATATAACTATGGGACTGTAAGCCAGAATATATTCTCGATTTTGTAAATAATAATTGACTTAGTGAACAATGCATATATTCATTGATGTTCAAATTAATATAAAGAGGCTAAGACAGCTTTATTTAGGTTTTGTAGCTTGCTTACAAGAGCAGCACATCAACACACACACACACACACACACACACACACACACACACACACGCACACACACACACACACACACACACACACACACACACACACACACACACACACACACACACACACACACACACACACACACACACACACACACACACACACAAAACCCGTCCAGCCCTCATCCCCTCAACCCCCAAAACCCACCCAGCTCTCATCCCCTCAACCCCCAAAACCCATCCAGACCTCATCCCCTCAACCCCAAGAACCCACCCAGACCTCATCCCCTCAACACCCAAAGCCTACCCAGCCCTCACCCCTCCTCATCCCCTCTCCTTCCATGTGACCCCCCACCCTTGCGAGGGAGGTGGGAGGTCCCCCCCACCCCCTCTATCCTTCCCCCTCCCAACCTCTCAACCTCTATCTGTCTCCCAACCTTACGCTATCTCCCAATCCCTCTATGCCCTCCCTAATCTTCAGACCCAGTATGCCCTTCCTACTCCAGACCTACCTACCCAGGCCCTACCCCAGACCCTCCTACCTACCTTCCTAGAAGCCCAGCCCCCAGTAGCCCCCCAAGCACTCTTTCTGAACACCCCCCTCCTGAACTCTTTCACCCCCCATACACCCCCCGGACCCCCCCAGACACCCCCCGGATCCCCCCGGACATCCCCCGGACCCTCCCCGCCCCAGTCATCCCCCAGACACCCCCCAGATCCCCCAGATCCCCTCTGCCCCCAGTCACCCCCCAGACATCCCCCAGATCCCCCCAGACCCCCAGAGAAAGGGAGAACTCTGGTACAAGAGTTTCCATGAAGAATCTCAAGGTTTGGTACACCAATGCTGATGGGGTATCTAATAAAGCAGAAGAGATAAAAGAAAGAGTGAGTGAAGCAGATCCTGACATAGTTGCAATTGTGGAAACTAAAATTAATGACATGATCTCAGATGCAATCTTTCCTGAAGGGTACCAGGTGATACGAAAAGAGAGGACACAGAGACAGGGAGGGGGAGTAGCACTCCTAATAAAGCGGAAATGGAAGTTTGAAGACCTGGGAAATCGAGTTACCAATGAGTGCACAAGCTTCATACATGGAACTCTGACAGTAGATGGGAGGAAGATTGTGATCCTGGTAATCTACAATCCCCCACCAAACAGTAGAAGACCCAGGCAGGAGTATGATGACAACAACAAAGCATGTATAGATGAACTGCAGAAGGCAGCAACACTAGCCCACAGAATGAGAGCGAAGCTGCTGATCATGGGGGACCTAAATCATGGAGAGATAAATTGGGAATCAAGGAATCCCCATGGAGGGGACGAAACGTGGGGAGCAAAATTAGTAGATGTTATAGACAGGAATTTCCTGACACAACATGTGAACGAAGACACAAGGGAAAGAGGAGGAGATGCACCGAGCCTATTAGACCTGATTTTCACCCAGAACGTAGAAGATATCGAGAATTTAGGGCATGAAATACCTCTAGGGGCCAGTGACCATTGTGTCCTAGTCTTTGACTACATGATGGAATTCAAACTTATGACCATGGGACAAGAGATCTGGGAAAAGAGAGCTGACTACAGGAAAGGGGACTATATGAGGATAAGGGACTATCTGGGTGAAGTGCAGTGGGAGGAAGAAATTAGAGGAAAAACAGTCCAAGATATGATGGACCTAGTCATACAGAAATGCCAGGAGGCCGAAGAGAGATTTATACCAACGGTAAAGGGAAAAAATAAGAAGGAATATAATAACCCATGGTTTAATAGACAGTGTCAGGAAGCAAAAATGGCCAGCAGACGGGAGTGGAGGAAGTACAGAAGACAAAGAACAGAGGACAACAGAAGCAGATACAACAGAGCTAGGAACGATTACATTAACATAAGACGAACATCGGAAAGGGACTATGAGAACGATATTGCAATCAAAGCGAAAAAACAACATAAGTTACTACACAGTCATATAAGAAGAAAAATGTCGGTGAACGACCAAGTGACAAGACTAAGGAAGACAGAGGGGGCATATACTGAAAGTGACAAGGAAATCTGTGAGGCACTGAATGCCAGTTTCCATGGAGTGTTCACTACCGAGCCTGAGCAGCTCCCATTGTTGGAAGGGGTTACCCTAGATGAAAGACTATCAGATATAGAGGTGACAGCAGAGGAGGTAATGAAACAGTTGACAACTCTAGATGCAACTAAAGCAGTTGGACCAGACAAAGTATCACCGTGGATACTAAAAGAAGCAGCACAGGCCCTCAGCGTGCCTCTGGCAATGATCTTTAATGAGTCACTTATGTCAGGAGAATTGCCCAGTTGCTGGAAGAAGGCAAATGTCGTGCCGATCTTCAAGAAAGGAGATAGGGAGGAGGCACTTAACTACAGACCTGTATCACTGACAAGCATCCCCTGTAAAATACTGGAAAGAATAATTAGGCTGCGACTGGTTGCACACCTGGTGAACATTAGGTTTGTGAACAAACATCAACATGGGTTCTGGACAGGGAAATCGTGCCTAACAAACCTTCTGGAATTCTATGATAAAATAACGAGGATAAGACAGGACAGAGATGGTTGGGCAGACTGCATATTTCTGGACTGCCAAAAAGCCTTTGATACAGTACCGCACATGAGACTGCTGTTCAAGCTCGAGAGGCAGGCGGGGGTGGGGGGAAAGGTCCTAGAATGGATAAGGAACTACCTAACAGGAAGGAGCCAAAGAGTTACGGTAAGGGGCGAGAAGTCGGACTGGCGAACAGTAACAAGTGGAGTACCACAAGGATCGGTGCTGGGACCAATTCTATTTCTTGTATATGTTAACGACATGTTTACAGGCGTTGAGTCCTACATGTCGATGTTTGCGGATGATGCAAAGTTGATGAGAAGAGTTGTGACAGATGAGGATTGCAGGATCCTCCAAGAGGACCTGAACAGATTGCAGAGATGGTCAGAGAAATGGCTACTAGAATTCAATACGAGCAAATGTAAAGTTATGGAAATGGGACTAGGAGATAGGAGACCAAAGGGACAGTACACAATGAAGGGGAACAGCCTACCTGTAACGACGCGTGAAAGAGACCTGGGGGTGGACGTAACACCTAATCTATCTCCTGAGGCACATATAAATAGGATAACGACAGCAGCGTACTCTACACTGGCAAAAGTTAGAACATCATTCAGAAACCTAAGTAAGGAGGCATTTAGGGCGCATTACACTGCCTACGTAAGGCCAGTCTTAGAGTATGCCGCCTCATCATGGAGTCCCCATCTGAAGAAGCATATAATGAAACTGGAAAAGGTTCAGAGGTTTGCAACGAGACTCGTCCCAGAGCTACGAGGGATGGGGTATGAAGAGCGCCTGAGGGAACTGTGCCTTACGACACTAGAAAGAAGAAGGGAGAGGGGGGACATGATAGGAACGTATAAGATACTCAGAGGAATTGACAGAGTGGACATAGACGAAATGTTCACACGGAATAGTAACAGAACGAGAGGACATGGATGGAAGCTTGAAACTCAGATGAGTCACAGAGATGTTAGGAAGTTTTCTTTTAGCGTGAGAGTAGTGGGGAAATGGAATGCACTTCAGGAACAGGTTGTGGAAGCAAATACTATTCATAATTTTAAAACCAGGTATGATAGGGAAATAGGACAGGAGTCATTGCTGTAAACAACCGATGCTCGAAAGGCGGGATCCAAGAGTCAATGCTCGATCCTGCAGACACAACTAGGTGAGTACACACACACACACACACACCTCGTAGCCTGGTGGAGTGGGCCTCGTAGCCTGGTGGAGTGGGCCTCGTAGCCTGGTGGAGTGGGCCTCGTAGCCTGGTGGAGTGGGCCTCGTAGCCTGGTGGATAGCGCGCAGGATTCGTAATTCTGTGGCGCGGGTTCGATTCCCGCACGAGGCAGAAACAAATGGGCAAAGTTTCTTTCACCCTGAATGCCCCTGTTACCTAGCAGTAAATAGGTACCTGGGAGTTAGTCAGCTGTCACGGGCTGCTTCCTGGGGTGTGTGTGGTGTGGGGAAAAAAAAAAAAAGTAGTTAATAAACAGTTGATTGACAGTTGAGCGGCGGGCCGAAAGAGCAAAGCTCAACCCCCGTAAAAACACAACTAGTAAACACACACACACACACACACACACACACACACACACACACACACACACACACACACACACACACACACACACACACACACAGGTGCTGAGGGTGTGGGGAGCTGCACATCACCACACACAGGTGCTGAGGGTGTGGGGAGCTGCACATCACCACACACAGGTGCTGAGGGTGTGGGGAGATACACATCACCACACACAGGTGCTGTGGGTGTGGGGAGATACACATCACCACACACAGGTGCTGAGGGTGTGTGGAGCTGCACATCACCACACACAGGTGCTGAGGGTGTGGGGAGCTGCACATCACCACACACAGGTGCTGAGGGTGTGGGGAGCTGCACATCACCACACACAGGTGCTGAGGGTGTGAGGAGCTGCACATCACCACACACAGGTGCTGAGGGTGTGGGGAGATACACATCACCACACACAGGTGCTGAGGGTGTGGGGAGCTGCACATCACCACACACAGGTGCTGAGGGTGTGGGGAGCTGCACATCACCACACATGATGGGTGGTGAGTGAGTGAGAGTGATATAATATGTATATATAACAAGACGATGTTGAGAAATGCAACACTCATTGTTGTTGACTTAAATAGTGAGGAAAGTGTGGGGAAAGAAGTATGAGATAAAGGATGTGGGAACCCTGGAAACTTAAGATCAAGTCGGATGAAAGTTTCGGGGCCCGACCCCAGTGATTGTTTGGTACCGAAAAGTTCAGTGCCACAACTAATTTATCTTTGCGTGTTTGGTGAACAGGTTACCAGTGAGCAGCTTATTAGGAAGGATTGAGGTGGGAGAGACGGGCGGGGCAGTAACGCTGCCCCACTCCTTCTGTCCCTTTTCCAACTGCTCACACGATCCTGCCCTTGGCTTTACTGTTCGCCAGTGGCCCACCAACTTATTCGTAAGTAAATTTTCTTAATTTATTAGTAGAACATATTCGTGTCAGTACATTTTGAAATTGTAAATAGCTATACTTGATATATTTTACTACTATAAAACAGTGGGATAAAACATATCCATATGAAATAGAAAACAATTGAGAAATCATAATGTATGAATATATTCATCAGTTCTTATCCAAGTACTCACCTATTTGTGCTTGCGGGAGTTGAGCTTTGGCTCTTTGGTCCCGCCTCTCAACTGTCGATCAAATGGTGTACAGATTCCTGAGCCTACTGGGCTCTGTCATATCTACATTTGAAACTGTGTATGGAGTCAGCCTCCACCACATCACTGCCTAATGCATTCCACCTGTTAACTACTCTGACACTTTCTAACGTCCCTGTGGCTCATGTGGGTACTCAGTTTCCACCTGTGTCTCCTTGTTCGCGTACCACCAGTGTTGAATAGTTTATTCTTGTCTACCCGGTCGATTCCCCTGAGGATTTTGTAGGTTGTGATCATGTATCCTCTTACTCTTCTGTCTTCCAGTGTCGTAAGGTGCATTTCCCGCAGCCTTTCCTCGTTACTCATGCCTCTTAGTTCTGGGACTAGTCTAGTGACATACCTTTGAACTTTTTCCAGCTTCGTCTTGTGCTTGACATGGTACGGGCTCTATGCTGGGGCCGCATACTCCAGGATTGGTCTTACATATGTCATATACACGATTCTGAATGATTCCTTACACAGGTTCCTGAATGCTGTTCTGATGTTAGCCAGCCTCGCTTATGCCGCAGACGATATTCTTTTAAGGTGGGCTTCAGGAGATAGGTTTGGTGTGATATTAACTCCTAGATCTTTCTCCCTGTCCGTTTCATTAAGTACTTCACCTCCTATTCTGTATCCTGTGCCTGACCTCCTGTTTCCACTGCCTAGTTTCATTAATTTGCATATACTCGGGGTTGAACTTCAACAGCCATTTGTTGGCCCATTCACTCAGTCTGTCTAAGTCATCTTGTAGCCTCCTACTATCATCCTGTTTCAATCCTCCTCATAATTTTTGCATCATCAGCAAACATTGAGAAAAACGAATCAATACCCTCTGGGAGATCATTTACATATATCAGAAACAGTATAGGTCCAAGGACTGACCCCTGCGGGACTCCACTTGTAACGTCTCGCCAATCTGAGACCTCACCCCTCACATTGACTCGTTGTCTCCTGTTACTTAGGTACTCCTTTATCCAATGAAGTACCTTTCCTTTTCTTTCCTTTCCCAAGTGTCAGTGTTGCTGAGTGTGCAGGGGTCAACATTTGTGTGTACAAGGCTGCCTCCACCACCTCACTTCTAGGCCCATATGTTGACTATTCTGACACTGAAAATTATCTTTCTAATTTCTCTGTGAGTCATTGATATACTTTCACTGTGTGTCCCCATGTTGGTGTATTACCCATGCTCAACTAGTTGTTCTTGTCTGCCCTCTCTATCCTCTGTATTTTGAATGTGTAAATTGTCTCACTGTTTTTTTCTTTCATATATAATTTGATGATATTCATTTGATGTGGACTTGTGATGAGAGGTTTGGTGTAGTGTGAGAGTAGGATTTCCTCTCTCATATGATACCTGGTTTCCGCCACTCTTTCCCATAATCAGCTTCATGAATCAAGTAGCCACTGAAGGGAGTTTACTTTTATTTTGCTCTGGCCATCTCCTAGTTTCTAGCCTTTTTTCGTCGTTTTTTTCTTCTTCGTAATTTTTTCATCATCCACGAAAATTAAGAGGATGGAATCTCTCCCGACTGGTAAGTCGCTCATATAGATTACGAATAGCACTTAGGTCAGAAATCACCCTTGTTGGACGCCATTGGTAACATTCCGGCGCACTCTGACGTCTCTCCTCTCAATGTGACTGTCTTCCCTGTCACTTCTGCCAGTTTGTAAATTACTACATGTGAGGTAGATAGGTGAGGTAAGGTAGTGACTGTCAGAAAGTCAAAGGCTTTCTGACATTCCAAAAATATACAATCTGCGCGTTGACCAGACCACACACTAGAAGGTGAAGGGACGACGACGTTTCGGTCCGTCCTGGACCATTCTCAAGTCGAATGAGAATGAGAATATCGACTTGAGAATGGTCCAGGACGGACCGAAACGTCGTCGTCCCTTCACCTTCTAGTGTGTGGTCTGGCCAACATACTTTAGCCACGTTACTGTGACTCATCGCCTGCATACAATCTGCGCACCTTTCTCAAGCAAATTTGATCTCAACTGTCCAGTCATAGAAAAGTCAAGCTTGTGTGGCAGAATTAGCCATTTCTGAAACCGTGCTGGTGTTCTGTTATTATGTTCCTTCGTTATAGATGTTCTACTAGCCTCTTTCTCGTGATATTTCCACCCCCTTCCAGTCTATAAAAAAAGGGACACAGGCCTGCAGGTTAATGCCTCTTGTTTGTTTCCATTTGTTACATTGGTTCTACGTGCGCTGTTTTTCTACTCTGGCATTTCTCCAGTTTACAGTGACGTGTTACAAACCATAATAAGAGTCCAACACAAGGCTTCTATTTTTTTTTCTTTTTATCAATGATATCTTATAAGATCCCATAGTTTAATGTCGTGTCGGGTTCCACTAGGCGCCTTTTGACTTCGTCTGTGGTATCTTAAGACGTCCAGTGTTGCTTTGTTTGATTCAGTCTCCCTAAGCTCAGACTTTCTCCATCCTTTGTTAGTTATATTTGTCCTATCTTCAAAGTTGTTAAAGTAGTCCTGACAACCAGGTTGATAGAGGAGTGTCAGTTCAGACACCAGAGTTATTAGCAGCTTTATTCTTAACACCGTTATTGTGTTGTTCCTACCACTTACCGCTTATTATGTAATGGTCCAAACCTCAGTAATTGTGTAGGATTGTTGATCGTACGACCAGTAATGGTGTTTACATAATATTTAGTTTTGTATGGTAAAAATCTTGTTGACGAGCAATATTATTTGCTTTCAAAATTGTTAATATTTTTCTTCATTGTATCTGCTAACAAATGTAATATTTCCAGACTTTTTCGGGCGGTGCAAACATGCTCTCACCGGGAACCAAGATCATTGAATTTAGCCTCCATACGCGCAACCTGGAGGAGGTGCAGGTGGACGGCCTTCCACCGGAGCACGCCGTTTATGTCCATATCCCGAAAACGGCAGGAGCGAACGGCAACACAACTCTACCAGGTATGAGACTTTGTGCAGGAGCGCGAGGCCACTTGACTCTGTGATATAAAGCCCCCTGTGACTCGTCTCACTGGGGCAGCCATATATCTCTGCCACAACCTGCATCTTCTCAACGGATGTGCCAGTGAACCGATCTAATTTTTTGTGCTCTAACATGAGTTTTCTAATCTAGAGGTTATATCTTGAGATGATTTCGGGGCTTTAGTGTCCCCGCGGCCCGGTCCTCGACCAGGCCTCCACCCCCAGGAAGCAGCCCGTGACAGCTGACTAACTCCCAGGTACCTATTTACTGCTAGGTAACATGGACATTCAGGGTGAAAGAAACTTTGCCCATTTGTTTCTGCCTCGTGCGGGAATCGAACCCGCGCCACAGAATTACGAGTCCTGCGCGCTATCCACCAGGCTACGAGGCCCCTTAATCTAGACCACTAATTCTCCCATTTCTTTTAGAGGGATGCTGGTAGTTTCACGTCAGATTAGCACTGACGTCACTGATATTTACAGCTATAATTGAGATAAACATTGTGTTCATGTTAGTGAACAAACATTACGGGGATTACGGTGGACAGGCATAAACAGCTCTCGCACACAGCTGTAGATTAAATCTCATCTGTCCTATACACGCACACATGTACAGTGTTGAATACTTATGTTTACAAATATACACATATTACTGGGCACCATTGTGCATAAACGTTTTAGTTTTCCAATTTCATCCCCGAATTCACATATTTTTTTTAAGTTATCAGCAACCTTTGATCTCTCAATATTATTATTGTCTTGAGATAAAAACCCCACATTTATGTATTTGTGTAATATATGTAATGATTTACATCAAGTCTGGGTCCAGTCTTCTTCTCCTTCTTGACCTCCTGACCAAGTCACCTCTAATCTCGACAGCCGATGTACGCACGGGGAGGTTTTCTGTGGAATATTGGTCACTTGTGTTTTTTTTGTAATCCTGATATTCTGATAACTGGAGTTGTTAATAAAGCTATTCGCCTGGATGCTATCCCTCATAACTCCCTCCATACCCAAAGGACACCGACTGTTGGGAATACCTACATTTATCCATTTATTCAGATCTAGCTTGAATTCATTTTTTTCATGTAAACAATTTTTCATGTAAATCTATTCTCGGGAGTCAAGTTTTTGTTACCAGCGTAAGTACTTAGAGCATTACTTAAAACTCCTTATACTACTCTTCTAGTCCTAATATTTTTACATTTAGAGATTATTTCACACTTCTTAAAATCAATATTGTAATCCTTTTACCAACTATGGTTTGCTACAGCACTATTACCAGCTACATGCTTTCTTGTGTTTTTAATTCTGATCTTAAGTGTTTGCCCTGTTTTCCCCCTCATAGACTTCGTTGAACTCTTTACAAGGTAATATATAAATGCCTTCCGGATTTTTATCATCCCCTACTCTCTCCTTACAAACCCTTTCACCAATTATATTTGGGTAATTGAAAACAATTTTGTGTCTTGTATCAATAGCATTCTGGGTCATTTTATTTAACAGAGAGGTTAGGTTACACGGTAATTTAAAAACTTTTCTTAGCAGGATTCCAAAGGAAGTAATAATATTAGGACTGGAAGGGTAGTATAAGGGGTTCTAATTAATACTTTGAATATTTATACTGGTAACAAAAGGTTTACTTTCGAGGATAGATTTACAAGACAAATTAATATAGGTGAATTAAAACTAAATCTGAATAAATGAATGAATGTAAGAATTCCCAATAGCCGCTCTCCTTTGGGTATGGAGAGGGTTACGAGGGAGAGCATCCAGATAGATACCTTTATTAATAACAACTATAGTTCTCAGAACATCAGGATGACTGAAAGGACAACTGATTATAATTCCATAGAAGACATCCCCGAATGTACATCAGGAGTCGGGAATAGACGTGACCTGGCCAGGAGGTCAAGAAGGATAAGAGGACTGAACCCAGGATAACAGCCTCCAGGTAAAATCCACGAAGCAGGAAACCCGACAAGTCCTTCTCACTGTATGAGGACGGATTCCAGAGAAGCTTGAACTTGGCATTTGGGACGTGTTCCAACACAGGCCTTACACCTCAGAGCTCGTCAGATGCTTCAGAAGTCAGAGATTTGGACATCACAAAGACGGCTGCCAGCGCCCAGTGAGGTGTGGAGTTTGCAGCCAGCCCCAAGACACGAAAATATGCCTTAATAAATACAAGGCTAACCAGCCAGTTCAAGCGAAATGCCCAAATTGTTCCAAGGCACACCACACCTGGAACCTAACATGCCCTAAAAGGCTTGGGGTCAGATTCAAGAAGCAATTACGCAAGTACTTACAAACGTGTACATCGTTCCTCAATCTTTGACGGCTTTGGTTACATATATTAAAGAGTTTACATGTATGAAAACCTCCCAATCAACTGTTGTTATCTTTATAAACAGCCTATTGGTGCTTTGTAGTTCATTAACTATTTAATAATTGTAAACAAAACCGGCAAAGATTGAGAAATGATGTACAGGTTCGTAAGTGCTTGCGTAGCTGCTTCGTGAATCTGGCCCCTGATCCACAAGACCCCCCCCCCACGTCCACAGCAGAAGTACAGAAGTGTCACCCAAAATATATTTCAGCTCCCCTGTCCACAAAAACAGCATGGAGGTTACCAAGACCAAAGCAGTGGACGCGGTACATGCCACATCGGTCATGGTGAAGGGTGAGAAAGTCTCTGTCTAAGACAGAGGAATGGTTGGGGCCCAACACAAAATAGTTCAACGTAATCGCCTGCTTATTGCACCCAGTAAGCACACTGGGGACAATAAAGGCAAGAGTGTCCGAGTTTCCACTGACAAGGGCCGAAGAGTAAACAGGCCCCAAACCAGTACAACAGTAAGTAGTGCTCCCGCACAACTGGACACCCTCTGGCCAATGCTTAAGGCCTTGGTCACGAAATTGGTCCAAACTTTGCTGTCAAAACACGGTATTACACAAACCACTGAGACTCGAAAGACAATTGAGGACAAGGTCAAGAAATTCAGAAAAACAACATCCTCACCTTCAAGAACGCGCAATGCGTAGCAGCAACCAAAGGTATAGACATCCTGATACTACAGGAAAGCTTCCTTCAAGACGGATTAGAACCTAAAATCACAGGCTATCAAGGCTTCTTTCCTCCATGGGTCAACGGGCAATCCAGGGGATGTGCAATCTATGTGAAATGTGACCTGATCTCCAAGCCCATAACCAGCCCACCCGATTGTAGAGCAGGGACAGAGGTGATGGGAGTATCCATAGAGCTAAGACAAGACAAACTTGAAGTGTTAAATTTTTACAGGTCTCCACGTGCTGAAATGGATCTCTCAGTGTTATTTGGACAAACACAATAATTTGTGGTGATTCAATGCCCATCATCGTTTGGCACTGGGCTCGAACACAACAAATGAAGCCAGCACTCATATTGTACATCTACTAGACCAGCTTCCATAAATCCAAATCCTAAACATGAATGAACCCACCCACATCCAAGGAGGTAGACTAGACCTTACCTTCATTTCAGCCTCCCTAAGAGATACCGCAACATGGTCAGTTGAGCCCACACTCACAAGTGACCATTATGGGGTCCAAATTGGTCTGAAGTTGGATCCACCCACCTATCAGGGCTTTCCTAATTGTTCTCTCAGGTGTCACCCAATTTTCCCTGGGCTTTCGCCTCATCAGGAAGCCGCTGATAAAATAAAAAAAAATAATACTCCAACTTTCCAACACCAGGGCACCAGCGGAATACACACTGGAGAGTCAACCGGAAATTATCCTAAATATGGAGAAGGCGGCTCAACGTCATAGAAATTGGGATTCGACTCAGAACTGGCCTATAGTCATGAGCACACACTATAAGTGAGCCACTAAGACTTACCCCTCTCTCTCTCTCTCTCTCTCCTTGTCCTTAGGTGACCTATTTTTAGTTCCCCGTTTTCTGGATGTTGTCGTCCGGCCTGCAATTATTTATCTCTCTCCTCTTAGAACTCCACACCAGGACAAGGGCAAACACAGTTGTCAAACAGACAAACATTTATTACAAACAACTAAGAATGAAAAAATAGCATGAAATTTCCAGGTAATGGTTCTACAAAATAGCATCACACTTTCAAATTATCAATATTCAATTCAATAATTGTCTCTGCTAGACTTCTGCTTGCTCCTCTTCAGCAACCCACTGTGCCTCAGTCACCTCGTCGTCTGGGTTAGGCTTATTACATGTAAATTTAATAATACCCAAAAAACATTAATGCATTCACCATGCATTGTCAGGTATATATACCTAAAGACGACAAAATAACTTATAAAATAATTAGAAATCTCGGCCCAGATGGAGATGCTGTATACCTAACGTTAATTAATTTAGCCTGGACTTCTCAAACATGACCTACAGCTTGGAATAGGGCAAACATATTGCCGATCCCAAAACCCAAAGATCCAGCTAATTCATGGTACATCTCTCTCCAAAGCTGTGCAGCCAAGACGGCTGACAGAATGGTATTCAACAGACTTGAGGGGAAAATACCTAAACTGCACCAGGACATGTATGCATATTGCATAAGGGGGTTGGCACATTGGAATGTGTTACCACTCTGTTAGCCCAACTGAATGACAGACCAGGAATGCTGATATTCCCGGACCTCGAGAAAGCCTTTGAACTGGCTAGCGCCCCAGCTATTCTTTGCTGCCTCATCGACAAAGAAGTCATAGGTAACCTGCTCTCCTGGACCAAAAACTGTCTCATAAACAGAGACAAACTCATAAACAGAAGCAAACGTGAAACTTCATGGCACAGTCTCTGAATACAAAAGACATGAAAACGTTACACGGCAAGGAGGTATTCTCAGCCCCCTTCTCTTCAACTGTTTAATGGAAAGAATAATGAGGCTGAAACTCCCACATCACTGTAGGCTGCTACACTACGCGGACTTTGTCATCATCATAAAAGGAAGGGATGCGGCGCACCTTGCACCCAAATACTTAGACTGCATCAGTGAAGAGGCACAGCAGATTGTGATCAAACTCAACCCCACCAAGACAAAAGCCATGTCCATAAAAATAGTGAAGCCCAAAAATCAACTCAAAGTACAGGTTTACCCATCATAATGGGTGGACACTTAAGAACATCTAGGATTAATCCTTAACACGCAAATAACTTTTAATGCTGAGGTCACTTACTTGAAAGAAAGAACTGCGGCCCGGACAGCAATCCTAAGATCACTAACCTCCCTCTCTGGAGGAGCCAATCTGCAAATCCTTTGCACATACTATGTAAAGGCAGTCAGATCGATGATCGACTATGCCAAACCTGCACTCACAAGCTTATCATAACAACAGTGGGAAAGTTGCCCAAAACAATGCTATGAGAGCTCCCTCGGGAGCCCCTATGTGAACTCAGACTTGAAAACAAGTTTGACCAATCTTAAAGAGAGAATATCTCTAAGAACAGCTACGATTATTAGTAAGATAATTGTTTCCCCCCTGATCCAATCCCAGTATTACAGACCTTGGTGGTTGGACTTGACCAAAACAATGGAAACTACATTTCAAAAACATGAATCTGGATAGAGGTGGTGATCATCTACACCCAAACTATACTTGTTCCCCCACTATGGGAGGAGCCTACCTTCAAGATAGTAATAGGTCTTCCGATGAAAAATGCTGCCTATGATCCAACACTCTTAAGGCGCATCATAGAAAAGCAAATGTATAGCACTGCAGTAGCAAGAGACATATTCTGCACACATATTCTGTGTCAACCACATCTTCACAGACTGATCGGTTGACACAGAATACGAGAGTGCTGGCGCTGCTCTTTGCACGGCCAGCGTACAGGCATACTGGAGACTGGGAGGACCAGTATCATCAACCCAAACTGAGCTGTTTGCCATACAACAGGCATCCGCATATGTGATTGCACAAAACACTCAAAATACAATCATACACAGACTCAAAAGCGTGAATTCAAATATGAGAAAAAAGCAGTGGAAAGATAACGTGGAAATAATTACCACCATTTTGTATCTATGAGCAGTAGCTAAAGGAAAAGGACTCAACATCACCCTAAACTAGATCCCATCCCATGTTGGAATCCCATTAAACGAGAGCCGATAAAATTGCTAAATTGGCTTCTCGTTATCTAGTGATCCGCAAAACAATTCAACCCAGCCTGGAGTACATAAAAAATACCATCACCAAAAAACTAGCACACCTCAACAAAGCTCATCTACATTAGAGAGTACCCGAAGGCTCGCCCATTACAAAATGGTATTTTCTGACTTCCAAGTTAGACAGGTAAAATATCCCGAATGGAATTCATAGGGAAATAGTAGTTCGGTTATATAGACTACGTCTAGGTTACAGATGCAACTGGGAGATTCGTGAACCCAGAGATTGGGAATGAATCTTCTGCCAAACAGAAAAACACTATCTCCTGTAATGTGAAACAACCAACGACCATAGAAGAGCTTAGAAGAGAAGACCATAGAAGAGTCCCTGAATCTTGAAGGAACCAACCTGAAGATATGAACACTGCCACTCTACTGGTAAAAAAAGGTGTCCAGCAGCTGGACACCCTCATAAATACTGTTAAGTAGTATCCTTCCCGCGATAGCAGCCACATAGTAAGGACTGGCGATTTAAATGCGAACTCAGGACATAGTATATCCTTTCACGACCAAAGATCACATTCACTCCAAATAATCTACCACTTACGGGTTATTCATGCTCGTGTCACCTCTTGGGTGGCTTAATCTTCATCAATCAATCAATTGGTAGCAGCCTTATCAGTCGTTGAGATGTAAGTCTGGTCCTAACCACATACTCAGACTTTGATAAAGCACTTAGGAGAGTGCAAAAGACGATGTAAAACTTTACATAAAATACACAAATACTTAAGTATTTACATAAGTGTGGGGTTATATCCATTGTTATTATGTCTGCAAGAAGACATTACCATTACTTATTATTGTGTTTCTTATTCCTCCCAAAGGCACTAAATGCACTAACTGCCCCAACTGAGGTTCAACAACCATGACCCGTACTGAACCAACGGGTTCCGTACAGGCCAATATATGTTCGAGCCACCTGCTTTGTTTATAACTTTACCATACAGAATAGTTGCCAGCCCGTACACTGAATCTCCTTGACTAACAACATAGAAGACCATAAACTCTAAACGTCAGAATAAAACAAATACCAGGACAGCATGACGGTCGGTTGTGTGTAAAGCTACACCAGACTAGACTATGGCAGACCACATATTGAGCCATCATTGCTACGAGCACAGATTAGCATAAGCTAGGTCGTGGCTGATGATAGGTCCCAAGACCTCAGCTGGAAACTGCAATATACAGGAGAGACCTGTTCAACAAGACACGTGATCATGGCGTGCCCTATCCAAAAATCTCAAAAAGGCATGAGTGGGCAATGGATAGCGGCATTAAACAAAAATGGTCACAAACGAAGCTGCGAAGCAGGACCAGGAGTAAGAAGAATGAACTGTGTAATTATGATGGGCGCCGTGGCAAAAGGACGTGCCCATAGTATGCATGCCCAACATAAATGCTCGTATCCAAAGATGCAGTCTAATGAAACCACCATAGTGGAAAACTCATTTGGAAAATATTCCATGTTGACCCAACCAGGACATTTACCTCTGTAAAGCCAGTCGTTTACTAACACATCGACAGAAAATATCCTGTTAACATAAACACACTGCACAATGAATCAAGAATTTCCATGGATTGACACAAGTCATTTAACCAATTAATATTGGTTTTCACTAGCCTGAAGTGCTCAGGAGAATAACTAATTGGTACAATTTAGAAATACTTATCACATATTTTACAATGAAATTAGCAAAATACTTCCATGCCTTCAGTTTGTGTCATTTTTAAAGTGTTCTTTCCGGTTCCCACAACCTATAATAAAATGGTACTCATTACTATATTTCTGTATCTTCAGCAGTACAACTTTTTCTATGACGTTGATCTCTAAGCAGTAACGAGGACACCTAAACTTGGCTCTATCCTAGCTTGACCAAATTTTGATTTCCTGTTTATGGTGTTTTGTTTCTACTTCTTCCCTCACACTTCCCATTTGTCTTCACAACCTTCTCTCAGGTATATTGACAAAAAGTGATTTTTTACCTGTAAATAATTAATGACTTCTTTGATCTAATTATATATCTTTTTATTCATAAATATTCAAGTGTTTGACTTTATACAGAATCAACACTATTTCATGAAATGGTTGCAATATATAAATAATAACCAAATACTAGTGGATAGAGAGTTAAAATGCATATTGTTAATCCATGAGGTATCATTATTAATCTATAAAATAATTCAAAATTTCTTGATAGTTATATGAAAAATCATTAAAGCAGTTTGTAGATAATTGTATTTAAAATTATTTATTAAAATAAAACCGATTTTAATCATTGAAAGTAGATAGAATAGGTACTAGTATACAAATTTTCATAATCCAGTAGCCAGGAAGCTTCCCACACACACACTAGTTCCTGCACAATAAATTGTGATCTCTATCGTTGAAAACTGACTGTGTTTGACCAGCCATGGTGAGTGTTGACGCCATCAACCAGTCCTCCCGGCAGATCATTCCAGTCATATACACCACCTTCAACGTGTCTGTGGTGAGTAATACGCAACTTCGGTAAGTAATACACCACTTTCAACCTCAATAAACTCAGTAATACACCACCTTCAACCTCACTTATCAGCCTTTGTGATGAGTAGAATTTTTTTGGGTTAGATTTTTCAACGCATGAATAAACCTCTCTGAACAATTATGAACTGTACCATTAAGTAACAACCTGTACACCATACCCAAAATGTCTTCACCTGAAATATTACTATATTTTTCCAGATTACATAAACCTTTGGCAATATCTACATAATTCACATTTATATTATAGGCGGGAAAACTAAGACAATAACCCCAGAAGAGTAATCGTATCATCATCCAGTTGTCTGCTAGAAAGACTATTATCAACAAAGTCACTGTTCGAGTGTTTGTTCCACTCACTTTGCTGAATAATCCTATTCAATTTATAATCAAGTTTTGAACTCACGTCCCTGCAGGAAATGGGGATGTACTCACATTCCCATTTCCTGATGGGCAGGTGATCTATCTCTCCCTGGTGGTTGGCTATAAATTCTGCCCACCAAAGCTTCCCGCCGTCAGTTACTGCCCCGCTCCTGTGCCAGGTAAGTCCACAACGGGCTCACCATAGCCCGTGCTACTTGGAACTTTTTTGTTCCGAGTAGCTGAATCTAAAACAACAAACAACAACAACAGCTTCCCGCCACCCCAGTTACAGCCCCACTCCTGTGCCAGGTAAGTCCACTATGGGCTCACCATAGCCCGTGTTACTTGAAACGTTTTGTTTCCAGTAGCTGAATCTTAAACAACAACAGCTTCTCGCCTTCACGACCATAGATCACATTCATTCCAAAAAAAATATACTACCTCTCGGGTTATTCATGCCCGTGCCACCTCTAGGGTGGTTTAATCTTCACCAGTCAATTAGCTTCCCTACTCTACGGCGGCCTAGAGAAGAAGGTCTAGAGAAGCTACGATGGCCACCGTAGTCTTACTCAACAGCCCTGGGTCTATGCTTCTCATAGACACCAAATAAGAGATATCTAGCTTGAGTATTACAGACTCTAGAATGAGTACACCCCTGACGGCTTGTGCTCTAACACAGTCTAAATGCCAGCTGGTAATCTCTCCTCTCACATTGTCTAGTTCGATACTTATTCAATACTAGCTGTACCCGGCCATGCATTGCTGTGGCTCAGCAATGCATATGCGTAGCTGAGCCACAGCACCCTTCCCCTGTCTCCCAGTCCTCCCCACCATTCCCCTCATCCTCCCAACCATTCCCTACTCCACCGTCCCCTTGTCCTCCCCTCCATTCCCCTGTCCCCTTTGTCCTCCCTACCATCCCCCACTCCAGCGTTCCCTCGTCCTCCTAACCATTCCGCACTCCATCGTCACCTCGTCCTCCCCACCATCCCCCATTTCCCTGTCCCCTCGTCCTCCCCACACCATTTTCCCCTCCCCTGTTCCCGGTTATTTGCGATAACCGGTTACATTTGAGTTCGGTTATTTGCGATAACCTTGTTACTGTGATATCTGGGTCAAAGTTTTAAATGGAGGAGGGATTTTCTCCTTTTCCACTGTTTCTTTTTTGCTTCTGTTTAGCTCACTAGTTAGTCTTGTTTTAATAGCATTATCTTGGTGGTGGATGTAGATGCAGAATGTTCACCAGTTTGGCCCATTCTTTGACTGCTTTTCTAATCATTGTAGTCGTTGTGGAATTTGCATCTAATGCAGCTGTTGTCGTTGGATTAAAAATGTTGAGTTTGATGTCAGGGCTTCAGTTGCTTCAGGTGTAAGTAAAGCAATAGTGGAGCCTCTGCTTCTGTTCCACACAAATGACACTCTTTAACTACAGGGTTTATTACCTCCCAGCAGCACTTATAACCAAGTCTGAGTCTGTATGGCTACTGCAATGTATCTGAATATCTTTTTGCCAGGCTTGAAAGAGTAATACCCATTGGCTTGATCGTACCACATCGCAGTGAATCTTCCTTCCGACTTTTGATAGTTGGGAGTATTTTATTCTCGATTTGCTCCATAATCTGTGAAAAACTTGGAAGTATTTTATTAACCTGAATAACAGGTAGAGCAGTGGAAGTTTCACTAGGATACTGGTCCAATTCTCCTCTACCGCCGAGCTCCTCCCTACTGGAACAGCCTGGGGGTTGCACCTCAAACCCCTAGTGCTACCTCTCCAGACAATCTTGGTGCTCCTCTATCGTTGAGCCTCTAGTGAACCTCTTTCTCTGACCCGCTACTTAACACTTCCTTGGAAGTCGACTGGATGCTCCTCCCCATTGTCTCTCTAGAACTGCTCAAGGATTCGTCCCTCAGGAGGCTCAACTCTCAAAAACTAGGGACCACCGAGCATTGCACTTGCTCGCTTGAACTCTTGGTAGCTAGTAACAACAGATTTCCCGCGCACGCCGCTGGGGCGCCTGACATCACACCACGTCAGGCCCGAGGGACTTCTCTATTAGACCACCTGGCCAAGCCCCTGCCACCGACCAATGACGCCACTGACCAATCACGTACCTCTTGCAACCCAGTACTAATATCTTCTGGAGTATCCTCTGGCGGGCAAACCTCCTCCCTCCCGAGTTGAACGACCATTTTATAGTGGAGCCACTCTCTCGCCTCTTCCCCGTTCAAACTTAAAACACAAATGTCTGATTCTATCTCTCTCTCTCTGGAGTGTATATATATATATATATATATATATATATATATATATATATATATATATATATATATATATATATATATATATATATATATATATATATTAGTATATTTTGGTAGCAGTCTTTCCTGTAGACATATATTATTAAATATGACCGAAAAAGTAAGATTAATAATTCTAACACGAATTTTCTCAATCTTTCGTACATTTCTTTTCACTGTTGGAGGTAATTCAAAAATCAATTCTCCAAAATTCATTTTTATTTCTAGTCTGACGCGACACGAGCGCGTTTCGTAAAACTTATTACTTTTTCAAAGACTTTAGTTTACAAATACACAACTGAATAGAACTTACACATCTCCGGTTTTGTTTATATCTACATTTGAGTGAGGTGGATGGGGTGAGGTGGCATTAATAGGGTATTAATTTCATCAACACAAGACAGAACAAGAGGTGGCATTAATAGGGTATTAATTTCATCAACACAAGACAGAACACGAATCAATGGGTATTGAAATGGAAGTGATTGTAGAAAGCCTATTGGTCCATATTTCTTGATGCTTCTATATTGGAGCGGAGTCTTGAGGTGGGTAGAATATATAGTTGTGCATTAATTGGCTGTTGATTGCTGGTGTTGCTTTTTGATGTGTAGTGCCTCGCAAACGTCAAGCCGTCTGCTATCGCTGTATCTATCGATGATTTCTGTGTTGTTTACTAGGATTTCTCTGGCGATGGTTTGGTTGTGGGAAGAGATTATATGTTCCTTAATGGAGCCCTGTTGTTTATGCATCGTTAAACTCCTAGAAAGAGATGTTGTTGTCTTGCCTATATACTGGTTTTTTTGGAGCTTACAGTCCCCAAGTGGGCATTTGAAGGCATAGACGACGTTGGTCTCTTTTAAAGCGTTCTGCTTTGTGTCTGGAGAGTTTCTCATGAGTAGGCTGGCCGTTTTTCTGGTTTTATAGTAAATCGTCAGTTGTATCCTATGATTTTTGTCTGTAGGGATAACGTTTCTATTAACAATATCTTTCAGGACCCTTTCCTATGTTTTATGAGCTGTGGAAAAGAAGTTCCTGTAAAATAGTCTAATAGGGGGTATAGGTGTTGTGTTAGTTGTCTCTTCAGAGGTTGCATGGCGTTTCACTTTCCTTCTTATGATGTCTTCGACGAAACCATTGGAGAAGCCGTTGTTGACTAGGACCTGCCTTACCCTACAGAGTTCTTCGTCGACTTGCTTCCATTCTGAGCTGTGGCTTAGAGCACAGTCGACATATGCGTTAACAACACTCCTCTTGTACCTGTCAGGGCAGTCACTGTTGGCATTTAGGCACATTACTATGTTCGTTTCCTTAGTGTAGACTGCAGTGTGGAAACCTCCGCTCTTTTCCATGACTGTTACATCTAGAAAGGGCAGCTTCCCATCCTTTTCCATCTCGTAAGTGAAACGCAGCACAGAACTCTGCTCAAACGCCTCCTTCAGCTCCTGCAGATGTCTGACATCAGGTACTTGTGTAAAAATGTCGTCAACATACCTGCAGTATATGGCCGGTTTCAAGTTCATGTCGACTAAGACTTTTTGCTCGATGGTACCCATGTAGAAGTTTGCAAACAGGACACCTAGGCGAGAACCCATGGCGACCCCATCTACTTGCTTATACATGTGCCCATCCGGGCTCAAGAAGGGTGCCTCTTTAGTACAAGCTTGGAGTAGTTTCCTTAGAATATTTTCGGGTATGTCAAGAGGAGTACAGGCTGGATCACGATACACTCTGTCGGCTATCATCCCGATTGTCTCGTCCAAAGGTACGTTGGTAAACAGCGATTCTACGTCCAACGAGGCTCTTATCACTGTGGCCCGTGTGCCCCGCAGTAAGTCAACAAATTCCTTTGGAGACTTCAGGCTGAAGGCGCAAGGAACATAAGGAGTCAGCAGGCCGTTGAGTCACTTCGCCAGTCTGTACGTGGGTGTGGGTATCTGGCTAATGATTGGCCGAAGTGGGTTTCCAGGCTTGTATGTCTTGACATTTCCATACGCATATCCAGGTTTATATTCCCCAATGATCTTTGGCAGGTGGAGTCCGGATTTCTTGGCGTTCACAGTTTCGATCAGTTTGTTGACCTTTGCTTTCAATTCGGCTGTAGTGTCCTTCGTTACCCTTTGGAACTTAGTTTGGTCAGAGAGTATGAGGTTCATTTTCCCCAGATATTCGTCTTTTTTAAGAATGACATATATTGGCGACTTGTCACCTCTCCTGACAACTATCTCCTTGTTCTCACGAAGGCTTTTAGCTGCCGCTTTGAGCTCGGGGGACAGTATGGTGCTTCTGCAATTGCCTCGATTCTTTCCTCCTTCTGCAATAAGTTCTGCTTGTAAGGTATCTATGGTAGTGACCTTCTTTTGTGTCTCGAGGTCGAATATGTCGTCCAACAGAATTTCCAACTCTACTTTCCGGGCCATCTCACTCGGTCTGGACATAACGTGATAGTTTATGCCCAGATTTAGGAGAGTGACTTGGTCCTCAGTGAGGTTAATTCCTGCAAGGTTCAGGAAGCCATCTCTTGGTCGTGGAATTGCCATAGGTCCTCCATATAATGTTGTAAGTTTCTTGATAATCCTTGTTTCAGTGCTGAGGTGATGTCGGTCTGTGAGGATGTCGAGGTGTTGTTCAATGCGGGTACGGATGCTTTCGTCGATGTTGCTATTTCTCCACTCGTTTGTAGCATGAAGTAGTTGCGTTTTGTTGTCTTTGATTTCGCGCATTTGTTCTGCTACCTAACTTAACCTAACCTATAAAGATAGGTTAGGTTAGGTTAGGTAGGGTTGGTTAGGTTCGGTCATATATCTAAGTTAATTTTAACTCCAATAAAAAAAATTGACCTCATACATAATGAAATGGGTAGCTTTATCATTTCATAAGAAAAAAATTAGAGAAAATATATTAATTCAGGAAAACTTGGCTTATTAGGCAAATCGGGCCTTGCATAGTAGGCTGAGAAGTGCGTTCTGGCTACTAGGTACGACATATATATATATATATATATATATATATATATATATATATATATATATATATATATATATATATATATATATATACACACAGAAACTGTATTGGCGGGGATCTAAACATTCCCTCTAATGCGTTATGCGTGGTTTCCTCCAAGGTTATGGGTCCCCCTTCTTCCAGCTAGAGGTGGTACTTCCTTCCATATATATATATATAAATATATATATATATATATGTATATATATATATATATATATATATATATATATATATATATATATATATATACTGTATATATGTAGTAGCCAGAACGTACCTAGTAGCCAGAACGCACTTCTCAGCCTACTATGCAAGGCCCGATTTGACTAATACGCCAAGTTTTCATGAATTAATTGTTTTTCGACTACCTAACCTAACCTAACCTAACTTTTTCGGCTACCTAACCGAACCTAACCTATAAAGATAGGTTAGGTTAGGTTAGGTAGGGTTGGTTAGGTTCGGTCATATATCTTCGTTAATTTTAACTCATATAAAAAAAAATTGGGCTCATACATAATGAAATGGGTAGCTTTATCATTTCATAAGAAAAAAAGTTGAGAAAATATATTAATTCAGGAAAACTAGGCTTATTAGGCAAATCGGGCCTTGCATAGTAGGCCGAGAAGTGCGTTCTGGCTACTAGGTACGACATATATATATATATATATATATATATATATATATATATATATATATATATATATATATATATATATATATATATATATATATATATATATATATATATATATATATATATATATATATATATATATATATATATATAGATAGATAGATAGATAGATAGAAATGTTCGTTTGTTAAAAATCGCTAATCTCAGAAAGTTCTTCACCGATGGTTTTGAAATTTTCACACAGCGTTTCATTCGCATCCGAGCAGGTTTTTATATACAATACTATATAGATGTCACGTCTGTAACGGTAAAAAAAAACATGCTTTTTATGAAAAACTGTGTTTTTCATGCATTTTTCATATGAAGGAAATCTTCGAAACCTCTTTACCGATTGCTTTGAAAATTTGACACAACGTTGCATTCGAATAGGCGCGTCTTTGTATATATCTACTATATACATGCCTCACTTGTGACAGGAAAAAACATAATTCTCTTTGAAAAACAGCACCATCTGTTGGACGTAAGAGCAACTCACTCTGGAATCTCCTAAAGTTCTTCACCGATTGCTTTGAAATTTTGACACAACGTTCCATTCGAATAGGCGCATCTTTTTTATATACCTATTATATAGATGCACCTTCCCCCCTGCAACAGGTAAAAACAGGCGATTTTTAAAAACAGCGACATCTGTTGCACATAATGGTAACATGCACGCTATACTATATATGTCACGAATTCCATTTCAATGTTTCTGATTTCATTGATAAATTTTATTTTCATAGATTTCGATTCATTTTATTTTTTTAGTGAATTATTTTGTGTGACATTGTGTTGGAATTGAGCTGTGATGTTTACCATACCGTTCATTTCTTAAGTATCGGTATAGATGCCACACCTGTGATAAGTAAAACGAGGCTTTTTTTGAAAAACAGTGCCATCTGTTGCATGTAAGAGCAACACACTTGCTATATTAAATACGTTACAATTCCATTTCAATGTTTCTGATTGCATTGATATATTGAATTTTCATAGATTTTTATTTATTTCCATTTTGGTTTAATTATTTTGTGTGGAATTGAGCTGTGTAGTTTACCAGAACGTGCATTTCGTGAGTATAATTTATTTTTATATTTTTTTCATATTTTAATTAAATTTTTTAACTGTTTTTCTTATATTTCAGTGTTGGGAACATCAGTTAACTTGGTGTTCCCAATTTTCTGATTGGAACATCAGACCATTTGGGAAGGCATCGAACGAGTGGGGAATGGTGGGGATGACGAGGAGAGGGAAGTGAGAGATGGTGGAAAGGATGAGGGGACAAGGGAAGGGGTAATGGTGGGGAAGGACGAGGGGGGACGGGGGAGTTTGGGATGGTGGGGACAAGGGGATGGGGGGAATGGAGAATGGTGGGGAGGACAAAGGGACAGGGGAGTAGGGTATGGTGGGAAGGAAGAGGGGATGGTGGAGTGGGGAATGGTGGGGGAGGACGAGGGGACGGTGGAGTTGGGAATGGTTGGGAGGCCGAGGAGACGGGTGAGGGCAGAATGGTGGGGAGGACTGGGGGACTGGGAAGGTTGCTGTGGTTCAGCAACGCACATGTGTTGCTGAACCACAGCAACGCGTGGCCCACATTGGGTATCTGGCCCAATCATCAGCCAGATACCCACACCCACGTACAGACTGGCGAAGCGACTCAACGGCTTGCTGACTCCTTATGTACCTTGTGCTTTCAGCCTGAAGTCTCCAAAGGAATTTGTTGACTTATTGCGGGGAACACGGGCCACAGGGATTAGAGCCTCATTGGACGTAGAATCACTGTTTACCAATGTTCCTGTGGATGAAACAATTGGGATGATAGCGGACAGAGTGTATCGTGATCTGGCCTCTACTCCTTTTGACATACCAGAAAACATTCTAAGAAAACTACTCCAAGCTTGCACTAAAGAGGCACCCTTCTTGAGCCTGGATGGGCACATGTATAAGCAAGTAGATGGGGTCGCCATGGGTTCTCCCCTAGGTGTCCTGTTTGCGAACTTCTAAATGGGTACCATCGAACAGAAGGTCTTAGTTGACATGAACTTCAAACGTGCCATATATTGCAGGTATGTTGTCGACATTTTTACACAGGTACCTGATGTCAGACGTCTGCAGGAGCTGAAGGAGGCATTTGAGCAGAATTCTGTGTTGCGTTTCACTTATGAGATGGAGAAGGATGGGAAGCTGCCCTTTCTAGATGTAACAGTCATGGAAAGGAGCAGAGGTTTATATATATATATATATATATATATATATATATATATATATATATATATATATATATATATATATATATATATATATATATATATATATATATATATATATATATATATATATATATATATATATATATATATATATATATATTATATATATATATATATATATATATATATATATATATATATATATATATATATATATATATATATATATATATATAAAACGGAGAACTCACACCACAGAATTGACTCAACCCATACTGCCAGGAGCACTCTGCAACTGGTGTACAGGACCCCTTAACCACTCAACAATCACGACCGGGAAAAAGATGATGGTAGCCGAGGCTAATTCCCCATCATCCCGCCAGCACTCTGATGGTAATCTTGGATATAGTAGGTACATAAAACATGCGCCTATTCGAGTGAAACGTTGTGTCAAAATTTCAAAGCATCCGGCAAAGCAGTTTCGAAGATTTTCCTCACATGAAAAACATGAAAACACAGTTTTTCAAGAAAAGCATGTTGTTTTCCCCATTCCAGACGTGACATCTCTATAGTATGTATATAAAAACCTGCTCACATGCGAGTGGAACGATATGTGAAAATTTCAAAGCAATCGGTGAAGAACTTTCGGAGATTAGCGATTTTGAACAAACGAACATTTCCATTTTTAGTTATATATATATATATATATATATATATATATATATATATATATATATATATATATATATATATATATATATATGTATATATATATATATATATATATATATATATATATATATATATATATATATATATATATATATATATATATATATATATATATACACTTGGTTTAATATGACCGCATTGCAGGAGTTACTGATCTTCCCTCTTTGAGACTATATTTTAAATTTTCCCTAACATATATGGCTACTCCCCATCCTCGTCTAATATATCTGTCTGTGTGGAAATAGTTTAAATCCATTTATTTTATATTCTGCTAATAGTTCTCTATTGGTTTCTTGTTCAGTGTAAACTTTTCTGTGCTTCTAACTACTTTCTTAGTATCAGTATTAAGGAGAGCAATCAAGTTACCAAAATTCATGGTAAAGAAACTCTAGTATTTATTGAAGGAATTATTTTCTATAACGTTTCGTTCCTCTCTGGAACATCTGAATACCTGATGTACATGATAAAAAATACATCTGAATATATCATAAAAAGGAATACATGATGTACACATTTTGGTTAACTACACAGGTGAGAGTCGAAGGCGGGGTGAGGTGAAGGGACAGTCAAAATAGGTATGAGAATAGAGCTAATTAGTAAAGGGAAAAGGAGGGGTTTGCCAATCAAACATTGGGTAGGGCATTGTGTAAAACTATGGTGGGTGTGGGGGACCTCGATAGAAACATCAGTTTCTGAGGTCTGGGTCAGAGTGTTAGCATGGAAGCGAAGTCCTTATTCTGTATATTTAAGATGGGTCTTCTTTCTCTTATAAGTATAGCTTCCAGGATTAGCAATCTTTGAGAGATTACATAGAATCTACCACTGGCCATTGAATCTGGGTGAATGAGGGGTAAAGTCACATTATTCAGAGTCAGGGTGCAGGAAGAAGGGGTAAAGTCACAATATTCAGAGTCAGGGTGCAGGAAGAAGGGGTAAAGTCACAATATTCAGAGTCAGGGTGCAGGAAGAAGGGGTAAAGTCACAATATTCAGAGTCAGGGTGCAGGAAGAAGGGGTAAAGTCACAATATTCAGAGTCAGGGTGCAGGAAGAAGGGGTAAAGTCACAATATTCAGAGTCAGGGTGCAGGAAGAAGGGGTAAAGTCACAATATTCAGAGTCAGGGTGCAGGAAGAAGGGGTAAAGTCACAATATTCAGAGTCAGGGTGCAGGAAGAAGGGGTAAAGTCACAATATTCAGAGTCAGGGTGCAGGAAGAAGGGGTAAAGTCACAATATTCAGAGTCAGGGTGCAGGAAGAAGGGGTAAAGTCACATTATTTTGTGCCGGGACACTTGCTAGATGTGTGAAAAATTTGTTTTGTTGAGTGGTTGGTGCTGGTGTTGGCCAGCATGCTGCACCTCATATAAATATGTTGTGATGGAGTGGATGATGCCTTTGCCTTCCACTATGTGTTTCCATATCTCAGACAACTTTAATTGTGCTTTAAAATGTTTCAGAAAAATCTATCAGGCAGTTTTAGTAATTATTCACCACTGAATAATCTTTAATTATCAAAACGCCATTCGCAGAAATTTACATCTTTTAATTTTTGTTTAATTTTCACAGCCTCAATCAACCATCACGTTGGAGCTGGCCCCAGACGCTAGCAACCCTCGCCTCTTTATTCTCATTGACAAGCCACGCTTACCAACGCTAAAGTCCAGCATGAGATTCTCTCTGGTGAATGACTTGCCAGTGAACAATGGTAAGGCTAAAATTTATATTTGACGCTAAGTACAGTACATTAAAGATGTGTTTTGTGCTCTCACATGGCTGTACCGCTCATACTCTATATCCTCAGTTATACATGAGTAACTAGCAATCGCCAGCTATTGCTGTTCCAGATGTAGTTTGTTTCTCAAGGTTAGTGTGCACAGACCATTCTGGCACCGCCTGTGTCTCACTACACCAAGCCACTCACACTGTGTTATAATTCAGCAGAAAGAGAAACGAACGTGCGCTCCACATATCGTTTATTATAACACAACAAACAATGACATCACCGGGTATAGGTTACATGACTTACTATTTACAATGCTTATAAAACAAAAGAGCATCTGCTCGAAACATTATGCACCTAAACTATATAGCACTTAATCCTACAAAATACCTTAATCCTAACATTCCTCCCCTTTTAATTAAACTCTACCTATACAGGTTATCTATCAGGCGATCGTATGAGACTCTTCTTGATTTTCTTAACTGGGGCTCCAGGCCTGTTACCTCTGGGGAACACACAGAAATCACAATAACGTGATGCATCAAATGAACAAATCTCTGGGAACCTTCTTCTGAATTACTAACTGCAGAGACAGACTCATTGTCTTAATGAGTTAGCTGTTAGATGAATGTCAGGAGTATCCACGTCTCCCTCTGTTGACCATTGCTCTGCCTCCCTGTTTCCTTCAGGTGCTACCACTTCATTATTAGGATGGGTATCACTAGTTGCCCCATCCTCACCTGTAGGGTCTTCAAAATTCCCCGTGAACCTTGACATGAATTGATCTGCATGTCTTTTCAAATTAATATTCCCAAAACTTCGCACTTGCACGGTGAAATTCTTACGGCCCAGAACTTCCATAACTTTCCCCTTCTACCCTAAGGCTTACCCTTTCCAAAATTCCTTGCATATACTGCATCCCTCTTTTTACACACAACTTCCTCTCCCTGAGCCAACTGATTGGCCAAATTAGTTACAGATTTTACTTTAATTGGATCTGTATTTACTGCTTCAATGTGCACTTTGAAGTGCCTATTAAACAGCAATTCAGAAGGAGATCTACCAGTGGTAGAATGAACAGTTTTTCTTTGATTATACAAAAATCTGTAAAGCCTTGTATTAATAGTACCTTCCGTAAACCACTGTAACCCTTCTTTTAAGGATCTCACTGCTCTCTCAGTCAGACCATTTGAAGAAGGATTATAGGGAGGCAGGTGTTACATGTTTCATACCATTCTTTCTAAAAAAGAAATCCTCCATTTCCCCAGAATCAAAATAAGGAGCATTATATGACACCCCCATGTCTGGCAATCCAAAATAACAAAATGTTTTCCTGAGCAGTTCACAAGTTACAGGTGATGTGGAATTACCCCCACATGAACATCCAGAAATTTTGTGTATGAATCCACGACCATCAGGTAATATTTGTTATCCATAGGTCCAGCATAAACTATATGAGGTCTAGACCAGAGTTTCCTAGTGCATGGCCAGGAATGTACTGAGGCCTGGGGTTTCTGATAATTCTAAAAACAAATGTGACACTTCCTAGTTATTCCAGCAATATCCTGGTCCATTTTTGGCCACCAAACCCAATTTCTAGCTTCTACTTTCATAGCATTTATGCCATTATGGTCTTCATGCAGCTGATTCTAAAATCTTACATCTTAGTTCCCCAGGCACCACCACTCTCTTCCTATACAAGAGTACATCCTAGTGAATACTGAGGTCAGCCTTTACTGCAGCATACTCTCACAATAATAAATTATAATTCCAACCATATTCGACATACTTCATCAACAGATTTAACTTGGGATCTCTACCAGTTGCCTTCCTAATAATCTGGAGTGAAATATCCTCAAAAAGACATAGATTCCAACAAGTTAACATATTCCGCTGGAATACTGGAATTCAACTCCTCTGTGACAGGCAATCTACTTAATACATCAGCTACTACATTATCCTTGCCGAGCTTAAATTCCAAATCTTACTCAAACTGTGAAAGTAGCAAAGCCTATCGTTGAATTCTAGCATTGGCATTAAATAAAAAAATTTTACCTCTCCCTAACAATCCTAGAAGGGGTTTATCGTCTGTTCTGGCAGGATATTTCCTACCCAGCAGACAATACCTCCGTTTTTTATGGCATATACCAAAGCGAAGGCTTCTTTGTCGAATTGGGAACAATTCTTTTCTGCAAGAGATAATTTCTTGCTAGCAAAATAGACTGCTTTTTTCCTGACCATTTTCTTCCTGTAATAACACACAGCCCATCCCTACTGGGGAAGCATCTACCTTCAGCTTTAAAGGGAGTTTACTAGTAAAATTAGTGAGCACTGGAGAATTTACCAATTCCTGCTTAATATTCCCGAAGGCCTTTTCCACTCTTGCTGCCCACCTAAGTCTAGCATCCTTTTTCAAAAAACCATACAACGGTACTAATTTTGTTGAAAAAATATGTTACCATCCCTACAAAAGACTGTACTTATCCCACTGATGTTGGGGCTGGGGCGTATACTATAGCAGCTATATTTTTGTGAGAAGGAGTAACCTGAAAGTTACGAAAGTTACTGAAAGTTACTGAAAGAAAGAAAAGAAAGGAAAGAAAAGAAAGGAAAGAAGGTATTTCCTTACCTGAAATATGGTACTTCAGGTTTTCAATGGCATTGGTTTTTAATGCTGTTAACCCTTATTAATCATCACATTGTGCTTTTTGCAGAATATTCAAAATATTTTAGTTTGTGTTGTTAGGGAAATGTGTTTGCTTAGGAGCACTAATCTCTCCCCATGCTTAGTTGTTGGGGAAAACGGGCGCTCTGAAGCTATATTAAAACCCTACTCCACCCCACCCCACCCCCCCCCCAAAAAAAAAAAGTGGCAAGGGGATTCAGGGGGACCAAAGAAATATAGCATCATGCTCTTCCTCATTCTCCCTGCATAAAATAATAACATCTAAAAAGCCAGCCAGACCCTCAATGTTTACTAACAATTGGGACATGAATCTCTGAAAAATTGCTGGAGACGAGGAGAGTTGAAAAGGAAGTCTTTTTATACCTAAACTAGCAGTACCCGGCCATGCGTTACTGTGGCTCAGCTTGAGTTGCAGAAACCTTCCTTGTCTCCCAGTCCTCCCCACCATTCCCCCTTCACCCGTTTCCTCAGCCTCCCAACCATTCCCCACTCCACCATCCCCTTGTCCTCCCCACCATTCCCCTCTTCCATCTCAGCATGCCCCACTTCCCTGTCCCTTTGTCCTCCCCACCATTCTCCATTCTCCTATCCCCTCGTCCCCACCATCCCAAACTCCCCCGTCCCCTTGTTCTTCCCCACTATTACCCTCTCCCTTGTCCCCTCATCCTCCCCACCATCTCTCACTTCCATCCCCTGACATTCCCACCATTCCCCACTCCCTCATCCGATACCTTCCCAAACGGTCTGATGTTCCCATCAGATATTGGGAACCTCAAGTGATCTGATGTTCCTATCACTGAAATATAAGAAAAACTGTTAAAAATGAAATGAAAATATGAAAAAAATATAATAATAAACTATACTTACGAAATGAACGGTATGGTAAACAACACAGCTCAATTCCAGCGCAATTCACACAGAATAAATAAATCAAAATGAAAATAAATCAAGATCTATGAAAATTCAATTTATCAATGCAATCAGAAACACTGAAATGTAATTGTAACATATTTATTACACATGTGTGTTGCTTTTACATGCAACAGATGGGTCTGTTTTTCAAGAAAAGCATAGTTTTACCTGTCACAGGTCTGTCATCAATAATTATACTTACGAAATGAACAGTATGGTAAACAACACAGCTCAATTCCAACACAATGTCACACAAAATAATTAAATAAAAAATAAAATATATCGAAATCTATGAAAATAAAATTTATCAATGCAATCGAAAACATTGAAATGGAATTCGTAACATATTTAGTATAGCATGCAAGTTGCTATTATGTGCAACAGATGGCGCTATTTAAAAAAAACGCATGTTTTTACCTGTCAGAGGGGTGGCATTTATATAGTAGGTATATTCGCCTATTCGAATGCAACGTTGTGTCAAAATTTCAAAGCAATCGGTGAAGAACTTTCGGAGATTACAGAGTGTGTTGCTCTTACGTCCAACAGATGGCACTGTTTTTTTTTCAAAAAAAGCATGTTTTCCTGTCATGGGTGACGCATGTATATAGTAGATACATAAAAAGTTGCGCCTATTTGAATGCAACGTTGTGTCAAAATTTCAAAGCAATCGGTAAAAAGGTTCTGAAGATTTCTCTCACATGAAAAACATATGAAAAACATTTTTTTCAGAAAAAGCATGTTTTTTTTTACCGTAACATAGTGACATCTATATAGTATGTATACAAGAACCTGCTCGGATGCGAGTGGAACGTTGTGTGAAAATTTAAAAGCAATCAGTGAAGAACATTCGGAGATTAGCAGTTATGCACAAACGAACATTTCCATTTTTATTTGTATAGACTAGCTGTACCCGGCCATGCATTGCTGTGGCTCAGGTTTGAGCCACAGCAACCTTCCAGTGTCTCCCCAGTCCTCCCAACCATTCCCTCCTTCCCCATCCCTTCGTTCTCCCAACCATTCTCCACCCCCATCCCCTCATCCTTCCAAACATTCTCCACTCCCCCATCTCATCGTCCTCCCAACCATTATCCCCTCCCACGTCTTTTTGTTCTCCACACCATGCCCCACTCCACCATCCCTTCGTCCTCCCCAACATTCCCCACTCCTCCATCTCCCACTCCCCCGTCCCCTTGTCTTCCTTTCTAATTTTCCATCCCATGTCCTCTCTTCCTCCCCACCATTCCCCACTCCTCTGTCCCCTTGTCTTCCCCACCATTCTCCATTGCCCCGTGCCATCGTCCCCTCAATCCCCAACTCCCCCATCTCCTCGTCCTCCCCACCATTACCACCTCCTCTGCCCCCTTGTCCTCCCCACCATTCCCCACTCCCTCGTCCGATGCATTCCCAAATGATCTAATGTTCCCCTCAGAAAATTGGGAACATCAAATGATCTGATGTTCCCATCACTGAAAAATAAGAACAGTTAAAAAAATGAAATGCAAAACAATAAAAAAATAAAAAAATAAACAATACTCTCGAAATGAATGGTATGGTTAACAACACAGCTCAATTCCAATGCAATGTCACCTAAAATAATTAAATCAAAATGAAAATAAATCAAAATCTATGAAAATTCTATTTATCAATGCAATCGAAAACACTGAAATGGAATCATAACATATTTAGTATAGCGTGGGTTGCTCTTCTTTTGAAGACGCTGTTTTTCAAAAGAAGCATGTTTTACCGGTCACAAGTGTGGCATCTATATTTATACACGTGAAATGAATGGCATAGTAAACAATGCAGCTCAATTCCTATGCAATGTCACACATAATATTAAATCAAAATGAAAATAAATTGAAATCTTTGAAAATTCAATTTATCAATGCAATCGGAAATATTGAAACGGAATCATTATATAATTAGTATAGTGTGTGTGTTGCTCTTACGTGAAACAGATGGCGCTGTTTTCCGCCCCCAAAAATGTTATTACCTTTAAAAGGTGTGGCATCTAAATAGTTGGCATATAAAAACACACACATGTATTCGAATGGAACGTTGTGTAAAAATTTCAAAGCAATTGGTGAAGACGTATGGAGATTACAGCGTGTGTTGCTTCTACGTCCAACAGATGGCGCCGTTTAAAAAAAAACGCATGTTTCTTTCTGTCACAGATGAGGCATGTATATAGTAGATATATAAAAAAGCACGCCTATGCGAATGCAGCATAGTGTCAAAATTTCAAAGCAAAAGGTAAATAGGTTCCGAAGATCTCCCTCCCTTGAAAAAAACATGAAAAACACAGTTTTTCAAACAGCATTTTTTTTTCCCCCGTCACAGACGTGACATCTATATAATATGTATATAAAATCCGCTCGAATGCGAATTGAACGTTGTGTGAAAATTTTAAAGCAATCGGTGAAGAACTTTCGGAGATCTGTTTAGATCTATGTGAGTTTAGCTGTTCTCACATGGTGAGAACAGGGCGGCAGTATTGTATTCTCACCAGGCAGGAAGCCTTCTCCTTAATTCTGATAAATGATGGGGAGGGAAACCCACTCAAGTCAATGATGTATCTTCTAGATTCGATGAAACTTGTACTTCATATAAAATGTTGCAGTCACAGCTGTTGAGAAGGTATAAGATATGGCCAATGGCTCCACGTTTCTTGGCTGCTTTGCTTGCTAGTTTCTGCATGTGGCAGAACTGAATATTGAATACTAGGTTTTGCTAGCAATTTATATTCATTTCTCAGTTGCAATATCCTACTGTGTTGTTAGCATTATCGCCTCGTTTTCTCAGCCAGAAATATAACCTCCCTCTCTCCCTTTTTATAATGCTTAAAGCAGCTTCTCCACCAGGAACATATACGTTATTCCTGCTGGCTAAGGAGCTTGCTGGTTTAGGCCGGTACTTTGTGGGCGTCGGCGAGTTCAGGAAGGACTTTAACATGAGTCTGATGGACGACCCTGTGACGAGGAACAACGTCAACATGGACGTGATTAAGAATATATCAACTAACTATAAGATACGAATCACAGTCAATGGAGTTGCTTTTCTGAACAAAACAACGATGAAGTGGGAGACAGGAGGTCTTGAGGTGAGTATTACAACAGGCGAGTCTTGCTCGAATATTTCTCCATTTACTTATATTATTCTCATTCATTCATGTGCCTGCCTATGTGTTCATTTACTCTTATTGTCGGGAGTTACTGAGTAACTCACCTGTCGGAAGGTCCAGAGCTGATGAGGACTAATGTTGTTACTATAATTGCTACTCACCTGTCTTCAGCTGCTTATTTATCAATTCATTCACACATCTCTATATCTGTTTATTTGTCCATTAGCTCATATATCTGTTAATTTAAATATCATTCCTTTTGCTACTTTTTTGTTTATATGGTAAAATGTTTTTACATTTACATAATGGTCCGTTTACACATCCAGCTGTTTATTTTTCAAATTTACATACCAGCTTGGTAATATGTTGGTATACATTAGTAGGGTAAATTGAGACTAGAACCGTGTGCGACACCTGTGCAGGTGTGGCAATTAAGCCCCTGCACAGGTGTTGCACACGTTTCTAGTCTCTGAGGGTTCTGGTGGGTCCCCAAAGGCGTGCGTGTATAGTCCCACAGGGTGGTTGTGGGTCGCGGTGGGTGTCTAAGTGCGCCCGGGTGTTGTCTCATGGGGGTGTAAAGTGTAAGTATATGTGTAAGTAACAGGTGAACTGAACAGGTGATCAATAGTGTTAGTAGTAAGATGAAAATATGTGAGTATGTAGTGTACAATTAATCGTGTGTAGATATATAGTCAAATAAAAATAGGTAGGATGTGTTGTGGGTGTAGAGTGGGCCCCCTCCCATGGATGGACAAGCCTAGGAGATCGAGATTTTTAGAAGGGGTGGTTAAGAGGGGAGGGGTAAGCGGTAGCTTTGGGGGCAATAGGAGAGAGAGAGAGAGAGAGAGAGAGTGAAGTGGCAATATTTTTTACCAAAAAAATCATTTTTACCCCAAGTGTCCAGCCTTCAATGTCTTCATCGTGGGTGTGAAACCTGGCATTAGTTACATGTCAGCCCTGAGGGGCGTGTTCCCGCTAGGTGGTCTTGGTGGCAAATAAGGTGAGAGAGTCAATGAGGCGTAATAGATTTTGTAAACAAGTGGGTGGCCCTCCTCACCCCTTTCCTACCTGGCATCCAGAGTATTAAGGAGCAGGTGCATACCCAGCACATAGGCCTGAGGAGCATCGCCACATGGACACATGCCCACATGCCACATGGCACATGGCTGCGTGGGAGTGAGCGTTTGTGCGGGTTGCCTCTTTGAAGCCTGACGCGTGACTGCTGTAGTGTTTTGAAAGGGTAGCCCGTCCTATCTTCCCTCCGTAGGGGTGGGGGTCATCAACAACACACCACGCAGAACTTAAACATTATGACCCATGCAAATATCCTATTACAGCAGTAGAAGTAAAACACACACACCAGTGTGGTTACCATCCATCAACCTTAATCGTATTTAAAAGTTGACAGGGGGAGTCTGGGAGATGTTAACCCTACCAGGGTTGACCCGCCACTGCTGTTTATATTTAAGGAGTGGTGGTGTTACTATTAGGAGTGCACCACACCTGTCAGTAATCAATCACTTCTCAATTCCCCGGGCTCGTTTCCTCCACCCATGAACTTGAGGTTAATTTAACGTGAGCATTCTTTCCCTGCGCACCACATCACACACGACGTTATTGAAAGATAAACTTTAACAACTTGCATGAAGTGCAATATTCTGTATATACCGTCATCAAATCAACGCTGTCGTCTAGAATGTGAGAGATGCACAAAACCACCCCTAGACCATTACGATATCAAGTGTAAGCGATGTCAGAAGATCTTCTGCAATAATCGTGAGTAATATTCTTATTCCACAGTTTATTTATTGCAACCACACCTGTTCACAGAGGTGAAATATGTAATGTGTAAACTATTCATTCTTATAGTGTGAGATTATTTAACTTACCCAGTCTATTATATTTCACACATGTTAATATGTTTCTTTTTTCAATTTCCAGTTTACAAAACAGTGTTGTGTCCATACTGTACACCAGCACTACCACCAGACCCTTGAGGTGGACAACGCCGGAATGTTGCATCACACAAACGTAAGCTCAATATACTACTCTTATCTGTATTACATTTTCCTCAAACACGTGCAAGCAGGTATTCACATAATAATATTTCCCTCCTACAATCATGCTGAATATCGATGTTTCCATTTTAGGTTGTAGTCCTTACCGCAATCGATGGGAGTGACAGACAGACGTCATCTAGTCATTATCCCACCCGCTCAACACTCTGCTAAGGAGAGCTAATGTCACACACATCTAACCACCCCATCATAGAGGACGACGGAACGAGGCTATCGGCTCGTTATCCCATCCAGTTAACACACAGATAAGGATTCATAGCCGCACACATGCCCAGCCCCCACACCGGCACATAAGTAAGTTAGTAAGTTAATGCTAACATTTTTCAGTTTATATCTTATGCATATTTATTCATTCACCTTCTTAATACATATATATATATATATATATATATATATATATATATATATATATATATATATATATATATATATATATATATATATATATATATATATATATGCTGACTAAGACTAACCCAGGAATTTTTAATCAATAAATCAATATACAAGATACTCCGGAGGTCATCTGGGCTGACCTCTTGGAGAAGGCTTCCCTGGGTGTGAACTCTAAGGGGGGGGGGTCATGGGTGAGCTGTAACACCCAGGAACCCCCCCCCCTTAGAGTTCACACCCAGGGAAGCCTTCTCCAAGAGGTCAGCCCAGATGACCTCCGGTTTATCTTGTATATTGATTAAAAATTCCTGGGTTAGTCTTAGTCAGCATAGTTTCAAGTATGTAATATTTCAGGAAAGGGAATTAGACTCCATATTCTTATGTGTAAACATCCCTGGATCTCCCTCTTTTGGCCAGGTCAGAGGTCAGTCACACACGTAATTAATAACTCCTCTCTTGAAGAGTGTATGGTGAATGTCAAACAAGCTTATTGAAATATTTCTTAAGTGTTTGTGCACGTGTGGCCCGACCCCCCAAGCATTTCTGACCAGGTAGCAACAGCAGATCTTCCCCTCCCCCCTGTGGGGGTTGTATATAGAGGTCCTGTAGGGACTTAGGAAGGAGAGTGCCGGACACCGGGGCCCAGAGAGGGCTGTGAAGAACATCTCAGCCAGGGAGAGACAGAGGTTTTAAGGTAATGTGTGTGATCTCTGAGGTTTTGTTCCCTGTCCAAATTTCTTAAATTTTTGCCAGTGTTAGAGTAGGATTTATAAGTGGTGATTGACATAATTTTGGTCTCAATAAAATTTTAAATTTCCCATCTGTGTAAATTGTTTAATCCTCTTAGCCTTTTTGGATATAGTGGCTGACAACCGTTTTCATAATTAATGACAGTTATAGAAAGTACTCTCCAAGTCAAGCAATGTTTCTTGCCTCGTTGCTTGATATAGTCTCAATGGTCAAAGGCAGATGGTGGCAGCGTATTTCATCCTGTGTTAGCATCTCCTTGTTAGCAGTGTACTTTGTAGTCCCGGTGTAACCATCATATGTCAGCCCATAACAGTGTTACCAAGTGCAACCAATGGGGAAGTGTTACTCAGGATAAGTAGTGTTTACATTATTAGTTTAGTAACTATTATAGTGGTGACACATTATAGTGGTGGTACAAACGGGTGGTGTTACAACATGGCCGGATATAACGCTCTTGGCCTCCAGGTGCCATTAGAACACTATACCGCCGCTGTTAGTGAAGCCTTTCCTAAAGTATTTTCCCCTCGATTGGTAGAATCAACAATTGCAAGTAGACAAACGGTGGATGTATTACCTGTGAATTCTGGGGTCAATAATATGTTTACAGACACCTATCTGGAATTCATCATAAAGGGGGTGAATGGTTAGATGGTGGATTTATCATCTATAGCTTTGGAGTTGTCTATTGATCTAACCAAAGAAGACGGAACATCACCTTTAGAGATGCTAAAAACATCTCGTTAGTGAATGGATTGTTGTAAACTCTATTAAAATCCGCTATTGTGTATTTAAACGAAACAGTAGTTGAAACCAGCTCATTATTCTCATTCTGGTCATATGTAAAGCTGTTATTTACGATTTCCTGATGTAAGGCTGCACGCTACGATAAACTGTCTCAGTTTTTTAATCATGTCTATCCTGGCAAAATTGAAGCTAGCTATTTTACTACTGCATCAGCTGGAGAGAAGCAGCGGATGACTGATATGAAAACGAGCAGTGTAAATACCTGCTTTAAACTAATGTTGGATGTCACATCAGTTAGTGAGTACGTTTTGGATAATGTGGGCATTAGGGGTGTGCCTCGAACTTTAACCCGATAAATGGCTTGTACTCAGTGATAATGAACAAGCTAATTTTAATTATAATATCAAGTCTACACGTCTATGGGTCGATAGGGTATTGCCTCATTTTGAAGGATTAATAGCCATTAATAAAGCTATGTTGCAGAACAACTCTCCTATTGCGTATACTTTTAATAAAACTTTATACAAAACATATATATATTGGGTACAGGTCAGCGCTCGATAACATTGAATCAACCATGGGGGACTGTCATACCAGAACATTTATATATGATCATCCTTGATATGGAGGCCATGTCTGGGGTATATAATCGCAACCCACTTTATTTGCAAAACTGCTAGCTTAGTAAGGTATTAATATTGCAAAATAGCACTAATATGGTGAATATTGGGTGTGACTTCCCTCATAACTGCGCTAAGTTGACTTACACAGCATTACAAGCCTTAGGCTTCGATAAAGACAATATATTGTCTTATGATACATATGTGAATGGTGGAACCATACTAGCCTTTAATTTACAATCCGAGGATATAGATGACACCATCCCGATTGAAAATAACAGTAATCTACAGATTGCTTTGGAATTTAAACGTGGTGTAGCTAAAAATATAGTCATTCTAGTTTACGGATCTACAACATGGGTGATCAGCATTAATGCAGACCGGTGAGTTATTTGCGATACGCGAGGATAAATATTAATATGAATTGTTTGGAAATAAATGAGGCTATTAGAAGTAATTTAGGTGAAAAGGTTGACTATTTAGGATGTTTCCTAGTTAATGACGTAAGGAAAATAGTGCAAAAAATGCATAAAAAGAAGCCTGTGATGTTCATAATCAACACTCTGGAATCTGGTTCCTGTAATAAAATAGGACAATAGGCTAACATTCTATGTTAATGTTAATAAGGATGAAGATAGAACCAACATAGTTATACTAGACAGCTACACCAATCCCGCAATAGGAACATATTCAAGATATTTCGAAGAAAAATGTCCTACTTCCAAGATTATGACATATATTATGAAGAAAAAGATTCAATCCCTGAACAGTTACTTTTGTGGGAATTATGCTGTTTATTTACCTACCATTTTTCCAGACTAGCCATAAAGCCCGCCTTGCTTCACTTTGATGAAACATTTAAATATGGTCGATTTGCCAAGAATGATGAAAAAGTGTTGAAATTCACCTATGCTCGGATGAAAATGCCTGTGTGTAAGTGAACATTCTGCTTAAACAATTTTGATAACTGAAACGCTGTGTGAAGAAATCAGCCAGGATATTAGTATCGTGAGTAATACTTATGATAAGATTGAATGAAAGAAAGAAAGAATGACGCAAATAATAATAATAATAATGACTATTTATTTAAAACAATAATGACTATTTATTTAAAACAATAATGACTATTTATTTAAAACATTTAACAACTAAAAACTCATATCCCCTTTTCATTCTACAAATTGGTTGATTGACTAGGATGGCACGAAGGTTGAATGAGCGACTGAGAAAGCTACGATGGTCGAGATGACTGTCTACTCTCAAAGCTGAACAAAGAACTATTATTATTATTATTATTATTATTATTATTATTATTATTATTATTATTATTATTATTATTATTATTATTATTATTATTATTATTATTATTATTATTATTGTTATTATTGTAGCTGTAAATGTCTTACGTGTTTAATAATAATAATAAAGAATAAAAATTATATATAAACGGGTTTATTTCTCCTACCTATTTATTTAGTATTATGTATACCGAGAAAATGTGTGTAAGCTATTAACTGCTAAGTGTGTGGGGGGAAGGGAGCGGTAGCTGCTCTGATGTAATACTACCCCTCCCACATTTACCTCAGTCAGTCACACGACAATCATCAAAGAGGTGAGCCGCCCAAACGCTTGCTCTCCACCCTGGACCTATGAGGCGTGTGATGCTAGGTCATGTGCTACTTATTTGAAAGGCCCAAGGAGCAGGATGGGAAAAATTATATCCCCTCACGCACACCGATCAAACGGTCAGCGCGCTCAAATGCCCGCCCACTATGTGGTGCTATGTGGTGGTGGTGGTATGTGGTGGTGTGAGGGCTCAGGAGAACCACATGGACTGGACGGTTTAGCTTCATGCTGGTTGGCGTTCAATCCCCGACCATCCAAGTGGTTGGGCACTATTCATTTCCCCGTCCCATCCTAAATCCTTATCTTGACCCCTTCCAAGTGCTAAATAGTCGCAATGGCTTGGCACTTGCTCCTGATAGTTCCCTCATATTTTTCACCTGCCTGTTCATTTGCTTATCTGTCTGTCTGTTTTCTCATCTGACTGTTAATCAACCCATGTATATGCCCAATTGTTCTCTTGTCAGTCAAATTTATAATCTATTCACTTCCACAGCTGACTGTTGATGTGAGCATCAGTCTACAAGTATTACAAGTATCTCTCTCTTATTCCATTTCTCAATTACCTCGTGATACTTTCATGTATTCCATCTGTTCATTTTCAGTTTTCTGTCTATTTCTTAACCTGTTTCCTAATTTCTTTCTGTCTATTTACCCCTCTACCTTGTAGAAAATATAATTTCTAGTTATCTAGGGAAGTAAGTAACTATAAAAAAAAGAATGCCTCAAGCTGAAGAAACTTTGTAGCACTGTCTGTCGTTGAATATTCAAAAGGCGCTAATGTCGTTTAAGATGCCAATATGAAAACAAAAGGACATAAGGTGAGCGGTATCAAAGGTATTGGGTTCACGAAGAATTTTTTTGAGGGGCAATTGATCTTGAGAAACATTAAGAAAGCAAGATATAAGTTCCTCCTGAGAAGTGAGGCAAGTCTGCAAGACCGTAAGAGGGACAATGCAGTTCGGACAATAAGGAGCAGGTGTTTGTGTAAAGATGGCGTACATGACGCGTGTGTGAGATACACAACCCCGCCAGTTTGCTCCGTCTATTATGGTAGTAGGAGGAAGGCCAAGGGGACATGTCACCTTTAAGAGTGCGTAGTTTATTACTCGTAATACCACACCAACGACCTTGCTAACGGTTGTCGATTACGGAAACAATGAGCTAGGTAGAAATACGAATAAGGAATCCCTTTTCGGGAATAGGACAGGTGTGAATGACGTCACGTAATGTTATGGCAAAGGCAGTGTTGTCTTCAAGAAGGCTGGAAGGCGAGTCTTGAGAGCTGGAGCTGTACGTCCTGCCTCAATTGTATCTTGAAGGTGATTGATGAGAAGTCGTCTAGCTCAGGACTATGTCCTCTAGTTGATAAGTATGAAATTAATTAATTAGTTATTTCGCTAGTTTGTTGACTTCAGTAAAGTTTATAAGTAAAGTGCCAGTAGCCCATGCTTTATTCTTATTGGTATTTAATACGCATGCATCAATCGATTATTCTATTTAGTTGGAAAGTTTAATAATCTATTATTAAGAAGCATTTGAATAGCTTCATCTCTCTCATATTTATTTGCAATTTCCGAAATGTCTAAACAATATGATATTTTCGAACTAATCATGAATGAAAAAAATCAGTAATATTATGTATTTACCTTGTGGAAGGTGTGCCAATAACTCTTGTATTATCTTAATGCAATCCTTTTCTTATTAATGAATCCAATGGTCACGATGTGAGATATTGTATATCTGTCACGGTTACGGTATAGCTGGTTGTTATGTTAGCAACGTTTTGTCGCTTTGTGCCAACACTGGTTACACCAACTCCGGAAGACACATTCACACTTTATTGCAAAAGGTGTGTATTGTTAGTTCTTAAATGGTGGCAGCTTTTCATTTGCCTGTTTATTTAATCAGCTACGTCATTTAATTTTTTAAGGAAATCAAGTCAAGTTCAAGTTAAAGTACGTTTATTAAGACAATAAAATACATCTCAAAGGGAAAGAGTAGCTTAGGCTATTTCTATCCTACAAAATCAAGTCATATTTCAACAGTACATTTGTCCTCACTTTTCCCAACATTGTAAATGCGGTTTATAGTGTCTTCTTATCTTTTTACAGATTATAAATGCAACAGAGACTCTAACCACATGTACAACCAACCACCTCACAAGTTTCGGCGCCAGCATGTTCGTGATGCCTAACACAGTGGATTTCAACTATGTCTTCGCTCACATGGGATTTACGGACAACTTGACCATTTACCTCACGCTCATCATCTGTCTCTCCATCTTTGTTATCTTACTTATTTGGGCTCGAATCTATGACAAAAAGGATCTTGAGAAGGTGAGGTTGATAGTAGTATTGATAGTTGATGTTTGAGTGTAAAGTCATATTTTTAGAGTTCATAGACGAATAAAGTTGAAAAAGAAATATTAGTGTGAAAGAAACAATTTTTTTTATTTTAGTAACAATACATATATATTGAACACTTCAAAAATCAAATCAAGCAATTTAGCAAACTGCCAATGAGTTTGAGTTGGTAAGTCTGTTAACCTCTTAGTTTGTGAGACTGGAAGATTGCTAGCCTGTTAGTTTGTGAGACTGGAAGATTGCTAGCCTGTTAGTTTGTGAGACTGGAAGATTGCTAGCCTGTTAGTTTGTGAGACTGGAAGATTGCTAGCCTGTTAGTTTGTGAGACTGGAAGATTGCTAGCCTGTTAGTTTGTGAGACTGGAAGATTGCTAGCCTGTTAGTATACGAGTCTGTTATTTGTATGATTTGAGTGTAATTCCATTAGTCTGTTATGACTTACACAAAGAAATCACACTAACACGACATATTATTGAGAAAATCAACTGGAGGTCTGAGTTGAATCGAACCCGTGATCAAGGGACTCCCAGCCGCTCATGCTATCACTGGACCTCCCTGACTTGTGAAAGGGTAAACAACTGAGATTCTACTAAAACCACAAGAGTCTGGAGGCTTCTGCTGAAGTCTGTCCAAGGTCTTTGTATAACCCCCCAAGCTCTCAGATGTGGGCAACCTGTTCCTCCACTGTATGCTCCATCTTCAGATACACGTAACCCCAGTTGATTTTCCCTGTCAAATTCCTGGGTTTACAAATAGTTTATTTATATAACAAGACCTTGCCACCTTAATATACATGTTTTTTGCTTTAATTTGGCTCGAAGGATCAAAATTTTGGGGAAATTAAAAAAACATTACCCAGTACTCTTGGAGCAACTAATGAATTTTCAGCTTGTGCTGGTGAGAATGTAAGGCTCATGACCAGAAATGTCACCTGATTGTCCTCACAAACTAAAGGTTCTTATTAAATGATTGTACATTAGTATTTAAATAAATCAGCAATCATTTTGATCGCAAGTTTTTTTTCAATAATAAAGGAAAAAGAAAAAAATACAAATCATATTTGTCATTAAATTAACCACCTCTGCTATTTTCCCGGTATTAAATAGAGTCAACATGATTATTCTGATCAATCCCTTGTTTCACCCAAATAATCTTTGTAGTTTTTGGAAGATATGGGGTTGACTTGCTTGTGTCAATTTGGTTGTAATAATAGACCATGTGGAGTGACTTTTAGGGCCTCAAATAGCAGTTTGATAATTATATGAATATGTAAAATAATACTGCTTAATGATGAGAGCAGCTAAGTATCTTGAGTTCCCATTAGCTGTTAAGGAAGGGACCATATGATTTGATTTAGGAGAGCAGCTTGCCTCCTAAGCTAGTTCACAGCATTTAGGTAATGGCCACCATCAACAACATATTGATTCTCTTACCCAACAAATTTGAATGAGCACACTGTCAAGTTTAATTGGAAGACCATTTGTGAAGTCACTGAAGGCCTGAATCAGTTGACAATACTTCCACAATCGTTTAAAATTGCTATTGAAAAAACAGAATGTCTTCTAGTTACTGATTGACTAGTTTGCAACACCACACTATGATAGCATAGTGACTGAAGAAACAAGTTACCACAAGCCTGTGTATGAGACATGACTTGACGTTCCTGCTGCCTGTAGTGAGAACACTGTTGCACCGACCTTGAATGTTATGCATACTCCTTAGGTCAGCCAGCTGCCACAAAAGCGCCGCCTCACTGGCACTGCCTCATAGCGCTTGTGCTCGTTTGTGTTCCCTACGAGCCCCAAGTTGCAAATGATGATGATGAATGTCTCAAGTTGTTTGCATTTTGATATCAGTGAAAATTTTACACTGCTTTAGAGCCTACTTTCTTCTCTGTTTATAGATCTCTTGCGTGGCCGTCACGTATGTCGCCCAGTTGTGCTTCGCTTTTTCACCCGAACACCTGTTCGGGTGAACTTGTGAGTCCGGAGAGTGCATGAGTGTATATACAGTATGTGGTGTGCACCGTGAATGGAAACCTTCCTAAGTGTGTCACTTTTTCAGGAAGTGACCATGCGGGGAATTAAGTGAACATATGTCACCTATCAGAGTAGTCGTATATTTCAATGATTCACTTAAATATATCCTGTAAACGTTCCTGAGTACGATGAGGATTCCTCATGTCCCCAAATTGCTTTATTGATAATCTGGGACGGCACAGAGAAGTGTCAAACCACAATGTTAAACTTAGGGGACGTTTTTTGTGAATAGTCGAGTTCTTCGTGAAATGGCATCTCTCAGTTGGATCGAAATGCCTCTCTGTCTGACTTGTTTACCTTTTCATTGACACTTTAAGGAAGTATATAAATTAACTGTTTACTGAGACCGCGAGACTTTACTTAAATAATTTATTTGAATAATTCACTGTTCTCTGCTTCTAAAATATTAAGCCTATCAAAATTGTTAATTATTTGAAGCAGAACCCACAGCCATTGAAATTCTTATTCAAGGTTGATTTTGCACAGCAAGTCCTAAAATTCTCAATTAAATGATAAGGTTCTATGCACCTGGTGCACGACTTCTTCCAAATAGAATTGGGTGCTCACAGGTGTAAGGCTGCATGTCCAACACTGTCACTTGCTCTGGCAGACTTGCTTTACGGTGACAACTACTGTGAGTAGTCCAACATAGTGTATAAGGATTTGCAACTGACAGTATGAATACTTGTTGATATTTCTCACAGGTGCTATCGGAATAAAAAATAAATATTGGATACAGGATGTGCGACTATTTTTATAGTATTAGAAGGAATTATTGTTTCTTTAATGTCTTAAATAAATTACTTTAGATTTGGTATAGAAGAGCTGTAAGATTGTTACTATGTTGTGTTTACGAAGGTTATAGCAAATCTTTTTACGTTGGTTCTGGATTGCATCGGAAATGATCGCTTTATTATCATATTCTTTCCTTACAGAGATGAATAAATGATTATATGCAACAGACGTTTAACTATCTGTATAACTTTATTTAGCTTGGAGCGGCGCCTCTGCCCGACAATAAGGTGGAGGACAAGTACTTGTACGAGATCGCAGTCTTCACGGGAAACATCAAGGGCGCCCAGACGGACTCCGTCGTGCAGTTCATTCTGTCGGGAGAACATGATGAGACAGACGTGCGGACCATTGGGGATGACAGACGCAAGATCCTGCGCAAGGGCGACGTTGATATCTTCGTCATGACCGTCCCGAGGTGGGAGAATGTGTCTTGTAACTGCTTACAGCCTGAACAAGTTGCCAGGATGGTAGACAGCCCGTTTTCCTTCATAACCCACTTTCTTACGCTATTAGTAAACTTTATCTTTCACCCGCACTTCTCCTTTTCATTAAAACATGCATATTTACATAATTCATACACATTCTTGTATTCAACACCATCGCCCATAATGTTCATTCTTTTTTGTGTATCTATACTCTTGAATATTCTATTGCATTTTTTTACACCAAATTTATGCATGTAACTCAAAAATTAACACAAAAATTTAAAATTATTATAAATATTCTGTATCAGTGACCGGGATCCAGAGGAGCAGGAAACATTGGTGAGGGGCTTAATGCCAAAGTTAAACAAGTGTACACCACAACATATGTTAATGCCAGTGTTAAACAGGTGTATACCACAACATATGTTATTGCCAGTGTTAAACAGGTGTATACCACAACATATGTTAATGCCAGTGTTAAACAGGTGTATGCCACAACATATGTTAATGCCAGTGTTAAACAGGTGTATACCACAACATATGTTAATGCCAGTGTTAAACAGGTGTATGCCACAACATATGTTAATGCCAGTGTTAAACAGGTGTATGCCACAACATATGTTAATGCCAGTGTTAAACAGGTGTATACCACAACATATGTTAATGCCAGTGTTAAACAGGTGTATGCCACAACATATGTTAATGCCAGTGTTAAACAGGTGTATACCACAACATATGTTATTGCCAGTGTTAAACAGGTGTATACCACAACATATGTTAATGCCAGTGTTAAACAGGTGTATGCCACAACATATGTTAATGCCAGTGTTAAACAGGTGTATGCCACAACATATGTTAATGCCAGTGTTAAACAGGTGTATGCTACAACATATGTTAATGCCAGTGTTAAACAGGTGTATACCACAACATATGTTAATGCCAGTGTTAAACAGGTGTATGCCACAACATATGTTAATGCCAGTGTTAAACAGGTGTATGCCACAACATATGTTAATGCCAGTGTTAAACAGGTGTATACCACAACATATGTTAATGCCAGTGTTAAACAGGTGTATACCACAACATATGTTAATGCCAGTGTTAAACAGGTGTATACCACAACATATGTTAATGCCAGTGTTAAACAGGTGTATGCCACAACATATGTTAATGCCAGTGTTAAACAGGTGTATACCACAACATATGTTAATGCCAGTGTTAAACAGGTGTATACCACAACATATGTTAATGCCAGTGTTAAACAGGTGTATACCACAACATATCTTACATCCTGCAAACTTTGCAATTGATTACTATTATTTAAAGCTTATTGTGGAAAAGATCAAGCTCTTAAATTTAAGTTGAACAAAGGTTTTAAGCTGGTTGAACTCTTATAAATATAATTATACATTATATATAATAACTTTGTTTACAAAATGAAAAGTACATTATTTATTTATACAAGAAAAAATTAGTACGAGCTACTTAAGTGATACATATACATTGATGTACGTGCTACTCAAGAGGTACATATACCGTGAGGTTCGTGCTACTCAAGGGGTACATATACCGTGAGGTACGAGCTCCTCAAGAGGTACATATACCGTGATGTACGTGCTACTCAAGAGGTACATATAACATGAGGTACGAGCTGCTCAAGAGGTACATATAACATGAGGTACGAGCTCCTCAAGAGGTACATATACCGTGATGTACGTGCTACTCAAGAGGTACATATACCGGAAAATGTACTGTACTGTTTCTCGGTGAACTTGCAATAAGAAGTTATTAAGTCTTGGAGTATCTTCAAGACTAAAGTATACTGGCTGGTTGGTCAATAAGCTGCTGAAGTGGCTTTAATAACCCTCCTTCAGTTGATAAGTATTAAATCCAACACCAAAAACCAAGACATCTATTGTTATTATATATCTTTATCTTGCCCCTGTTAGACCAACCCTCCATCAGCACCACACTGAGATTCCACCAATAGTCCTAACACATAGTTTAATTAATTTTTGTATAGTTTTTATTGACAGCAACATAAAAATAAAAATACAGAATTTAAAATATTATTTTCTGGCTTATGAAACGCACCACACAGACCACTTGGAGCCCTGCAGTTGCTGAGAGTGTGGCACGACAACAGTGGCAAGGGTGTCAACGCCTCCTGGTTCCTCAACTGCATTATCATCACAGACGTCCAGACGGAGACGAAATACCACTTTATCGCTGACCAGTGGTTTGCTGTGGAGAGTTATGATGGCCAGGTGAGCACTTACCATTTTTTTTTTAACTTTATCCTGACTGAGACTGAATGATTAAAGACGTTCATTATTTGCCTCATTAGCGATAAGTGAGTCTGTGTTCACCCAACTAGTTACTGAACAAACCCAATGGTGCTTGACCCAGCTGGCCCGACGCGGACGCTGTATTTGGATGACGCGGTGGCTGAGATAATCATGTTTCTCAGGACCACAGGGAAACATATACACTATAATCCTTAGCTTCCCTCTGTAAGGCTTCATATTTATATATTGCGGACTGACACTTGTCAGTCCAGATTCTGTATTAATTCCTTCGTATAATATAAATAGGAGGAAGGCTGTTTCAATCGTTCCTTTTCTCAATAAGTCATCTTTGGATATACACAAAAAATATTGGGTATAAAAATACAATCTTTAGCTGGGGACACAAACAGTATTTCTCACAATTTAAATAGTGTTTACTAGTAACTAAAAAGTATTGGAGCAAATCGTTAAGGGAAGAGTAAAGTGTATTAGCAGAAAAATGGGTATAATAATAATAATTTAATTCACTGTGTCGGGGGACAGGAAGCCAGAGTGTATTCATACACGTATGGCTTTTATCGAGGTTGATACTTATGGGACTAAATAACAAGTAATTGAAAATGGGATTAATACAATAATTAGAAAACAGATTGATTAAGGGAAGTTGTAGACGGCCGGCTGATGACGTCATTGAACATCAAGGATGACTAAAACCGTGCGTCACCGAGGTAACTAAAATTATGGATGACAGATCGAGGGTGTTTAATCTACATGGGAAGAATAATGAACGTCACAACAGAGCCCTTTAATCTCTCTTGGAAAAATATTGTACGTCAGACGGATGTAGTCAAAGCTGGTGATGGTAAAAGTGTGCACGGCTGCAGGTGTTGTGATAAGCCAAAAAGCTACGATTTTGCACACTTCCCACTACTTCCGTCTACTCCCAGTACACGTGCCCTGTCCGTCTACTCCCAGCACACGTGTCCTGATCCTCTACTCCCAACACACGTGTCCTGTCCCTCTACTCCCAACACACGTGTCCTGTCCGTCTCCTCCCAACACACGTGTCCTGTCCCTCTACTCCCAACACACGTGTCCTGTCCGTCTCCTCCCTACACACGTGTCCTGTCCGTCTCCTCCCGGCACACGTGTCCTGTCCGTCTCCTCCCAGCACACGTGTCCTGTCCCTCTCCTCCCAGCACACGTGTCCTGTGTCTCTCAACACACACACGCCTTCTACGGGCTCACCATAGTCCGTGATACTTGGAACTTTATGTTCCAGGTAGCGAATCTTTAACAACAACAACAACAACACGCCGTGCCCATCTCGAGTGCTAAACTCTAAGGACTTTGGGTACCACACATTATCCGCCAACTTTGTGTGGGAGGAATATGAGCTGCTCCACACCCTTCAGTGGATGCGGGGGTGGGGGCTAAACCCTGACTCCCAAGGGGCACTTCCCATAAAATCACATTTAATTCTACCAAGTTTAATGATGCTAACTTCAAGCGTTCAACCTCAGACCGTCATTCTCTTTTATAGACAGAGATATGTAATGTAGTGTTCCATTTGTCAAATAAAGTATGTATTCCTTATTTGTATTGAACGTAATTCAATAAAGGTAAGAAAGGAGTGATGGGCTCAACAGAGAACACAGAGTAATTAAATTAAGTTCACGTGATACTAAATTTTACATGGTGTAAAGGGAGAGATATTGTAAAAAAAAAGAGAGCTTCAGTTGGCCTCCTTGGATCAACAAGTAATTACTTACACGGAGAAAGGTATTATATATAATGCATTACCTGTGTCAAGTATATATGTGGTAAATCATATCTCACAATAAATATGTTAAAAAGAATTTGTTGAAAAGTTACCTACCCATAACAACACAACAGGACTGGGGCATTAAGTCACTATCATGAAACTCTTGCACTACCGTCAACTCACAACACCCAGAGACGAGCAGGAAAATAAATTAATTTCCCAGCAATAGAAGAGCAAACTGTTTTATGTAATCAAATAATTCAATACAGTATATTTTTTCTTTCGAAAATAAATTTTGCTTCCAATTTCTTTCCAGGTTGAACGTCTCCTTCCAGTGGCAGGAGAGGAGGAGAAGAAAAAGTTTAAGTTCCTGATGGAGACGAACGCTAACAGCAGACTTACTGACGAACACCTCTGGTTCTCAGTCTTCCTCCGACCCAAACGATCACGTTTTACAAGGTTCTGCTAAACCCACACTAAATATATATGTATATATATGTTGTACCTAGTAGCCAGAACGTCATACTCGGCCTGCTATGCAAGGCCCGATTTGCCTAATAAGCCAAGTTTTCCTGAATTTATATATTTTCTCTAATTTTTTTCTTATGAAATGATAAAGCTACCCATTTCATTATGTATGAGGTCAATTTTTTTTTTATTGTAGTTAAAATTAACGTAGATATATGACCGAACCTAACCAACCCTACCTAACCTAACCTAACCTATCTTTATAGGTTAGGTTAGGTTAGGTAGCCGAAAAAGTTAGGTTAGGTTAGGTAGGTTTGGTAGTCGAAAAACAATTAATTCATGAAAACTTGGCTTATAAGGCAAATCGGGCCTTGTATAGTAGGCTGAGAAGTGCGTTCTGGCTACTAGGTACGACATATATATATATATATATATATATAGAAATATATATATATATATATATATAGAAATATATATATATATATATATATATATATATATATATATATATATATATATATATATATATATATATATATATATATATATGTCGTACCTAGTAGCCAGAACTCACTTCTCAGCCTACTATACAAGGCCCGATTTGCCTAATAAGCCAAGTTTTCATGAATTAATGTTTTTTCGTCTACCTAACCTACCTAACCTAACCTAACCTAGCTTTTTTTGGCTACCTAACCTAACCTTACCTATATATATAGGTTAGGTTAGGTTAGGTAGGGTTGGTTAGGTTCGGTCATATATCTACGTTAATTTTAACTCCAATAAAAATAAATTGACCTCATACATAGTGAAAAGGGAAGCTTTATCATTTCATAAGAAAAAAATTATAGTAAAAATATTAATTCAGGAAAACTTGGCTTATTAGGCAAATCGGGCCTTGAATAGTAGGCTGAGAAGTGAGTTCTGGCTACTAGGTACGACATATATATATATATATATATATATATATATAACTGAAAACTCACACCCCAGAAGTGACTCGAACCCATACTCCCACAACTGGTATGTACAGGGACGCCTTAATCCGCTTGACCATCATTTGATAAAATGCTATGCCCAAGATTACCATCCGAGTGCCGGCGGGGAAGTGGTTCATATAGCCTCGGCTATCACTTCCTTATGTCCGGTCGTGATGGTCAAGCGGATTAAGGCGTCCCTGTACATACCAGTTGTGGGAGTATGGGTTCGAGTCACTTCTGGGGTGTGAGTTTTCAGTTGTATATAGTCCTGGGGACCATTCAGGCTTGTTTGCATTTGTGTTCCTCACGTGTGCCCCAAAGAATGAGGTGATTTGATAAAATGCTATGCCCAAGATTACCATCCGAGTGCCGGCGGGGAAGTGGTTCATATAGCCTCGGCTATCACTTCCTTATGTCCGGTCGTGATGGTCAAGCGGATTAAGGCGTCCCTGTACATACCAGTTGTGGGAGTATGGGTTCGAGTCACTTCTGGGGTGTGAGTTTTCAGTTGTATATAGTCCTGGGGACCATTCAGGCTTGTTTGCATTTGTGTTCCTCACGTGTGCCCCAAAGAATGAGGTGATTTGATAAAATGCTATGCCCAAGATTACCATCCGAGTGCCGGCGGGGAAGTGGTTCATATAGCCTCGGCTATCACTTCCTTATGTCCGGTCGTGATGGTCAAGCGGATTAAGGCGTCCCTGTACATACCAGTTGTGGGAGTATGGGTTCGAGTCACTTCTGGGGTGTGAGTTTTCAGTTGTATATAGTCCTGGGGACCATTCAGGCTTGTTTGCATTTGTGTTCCTCACGTGTGCCCCAAAGAATGAGGTGATTTGATAAAATGCTATGCCCAAGATTACCATCCGAGTGCCGGCGGGGAAGTGGTTCATATAGCCTCGGCTATCACTTCCTTATGTCCGGTCGTGATGGTCAAGCGGATTAAGGCGTCCCTGTACATACCAGTTGTGGGAGTATGGGTTCGAGTCACTTCTGGGGTGTGAGTTTTCAGTTGTATATAGTCCTGGGGACCATTCAGGCTTGTTTGCATATATATATATATAAATATATATATATATATATGTCGTACCTAGTACCCAGAACTCACTTCTCAGCCTACTATGCAAGGCCCGATTTGCCTAATAAGCCAAGTTTTCATGAATTAATGTTTTTTCGTCTACCTAACCTACCTAACCTAACCTAACCTAGCTTTTTTGGCTACCTAACCTAACCTTACCTATATATATAGGTTAGGTTCGGTTAGGTAGGGTTGGTTAGGTTCGGTCATATATCTACGTTAATTTTAACTCCAATAAAAAAAAATTGACCTCATACATAGTGAAAAGGGTAGCTTTATCATTTCATAAGAAAAAAATTGTAGTAAATATATTAATTCAGGAAAACTTGGCTTATTAGGCAAATCGGGCCTTGAATAGTAGGCTGAGAAGTGAATTCTGGCTACTAGGTACGACATATATATATATATATATATATATATATATATATATATATATATATATATATATATATATATATATATATATATATATATATATATATATATATGTCATATATATATATATATATATATATATATATATATATATATATATATATATATATGTCATATATATATATATACATATATATATATATATATATATATATATATATATATATATATATATATATATATATAGATATATATATATATTAGTATATTTTGGTAGCAGTCTTTCCTGTAGACATATATTATTAATTAAATATGACCGAAAAAGTAAGATTAATAATTCTAACACGAATTTTCTCAATCTTTCGTACATTTCTTTTCACTGTTGGAGGTAATTCAAAAATCAATTCTTCAAAATTCTCCAAAAACGGCCAGCCTACTCATGAGAAACTCTCCAGACACAAAACAGAACGCTTTAAAAGAGACTAACGTCGTCTATGCCTTCAAATGCCCTCTTGGGGACTGTAAGCTCCAAAAAACCCAGTATATAGGCAAGACAACAACATCTCTTTCTAGGCGTTTAACGATGCATAAGCAACAGGGCTCCATTAAGGAACATATAATCTCTTCCCACAACCAAACCATCGCCAGAGAAATCCTAGTAAACAACACAGAAATCATCGATAGATACAGCGATAGCAGGCGGCTTGACGTTTGCGAGGCATTACACATCAAGAAGTCAACACCAGCAATCAACAGCCAATTAATGCACAACTATATTCTACCCACCTCAAGACGCCGCTCCAATATAGAAGCATCAAGAAATATGGACCAATAGGCTTTCTACAATCACTTCTATTCAATACCCATTGTTTCATGTTCTGGCTTGTGTTGATAAAATTAATACCTTATTAAATACCACCTCACCCAATCCACCTCACTCAAATGTAGATATAAACAAAATCGGAGATGTGTAAGTTCTATTCAGTTGTGTATGTGTTAACTAAAGTCTTTGAAAATGTAATAAGTTTTACGAAACGCGCTCAAGTGTCGCGTCAGACTAGAAATAAAAATGAATTTTGGAGAATTGATTTTTGAATTACCTCCAACAGTGAAAAGAAATGTACGAAAGATTGAGAAAATTCGTGTTAGAATTATTAATCATACTTTTTCGGTCATATTTAATTATATATATATATATATATATATATATATATATATATATATATATATATATATATATATATATATATATATATATATATATATATATATATATATATATACAATAAAGGTGAAAACATGGGGGGATACATAAGGGATAAATGTGAGGTGAAACATAGAGGCTGCAGAAGGCTTATTGGCCCATACGAGGCAGCTCCTATCTAAACACAAAGATCAATCCAGTGTAATTGGCATATATATATATATATATATATATATATATATATATATATATATATATATATATATATATATATATATATATATATATATATATTTATATATATATATCTATATATATATTTATATATATATATATATTTATATATATATATTTATATATATATATTTATATATATATATATATATATATATATATATATATATATATATATATATATATATATATATATATATATATATATATATATATATATATATATATATATATTTATATATATATATATATATGTCGTACCTAGTAGCCAGAACGCACTTTTCTGCCTACTATGCAGGGCCCGATGGAAATATATATATATATATATATATATATATATATATATATATATATATATATATATATATATATATATATATACATATATATACATATATATATATATATATATATATATATATATATATATATATATATATATATATATATATATTTCCACCGCAGCATCACAAATACGACACCTACACGGTTCAAGACTTCCTCGTGGAGGCCACGTCACCAAACTCTAACTCACCTGACAGCACTGCTCAGCCAAAGTCGCAGGCAAAGAAAAAACGGAAAACCTAGAGGTCCACACTAATCCCACCAGCTCCATAACTGGTATAGCCAGCCCCCCAGGCTGAAAACCATCATGAAGTCCCCCATCCATCGCAAGATCTCTAGTATCAGCCACTGATACAGATAATTGCTCCAAAGAGCTTCCACTTACGGGCTCAACATAGCCCGTGCTACTGGAACTTATTGTTCTGAGTAGCGAATCTTAAACAATAACAACATTCCTCATCACAATCGAATTGAGAATGGTCCAGTACGGACCGAAACGTCGTCCCTTCACCTTCTAGTGTGTGGTCTGGTCAACATGCATTAGAAAATTCTTGTAAATCTATGCCGCATGAGCGTCATTTGTGTTTCAAGGGGCAAGCGAAGGGGGTATGTAGTCCCTGGTTGACTGAGTTTGAATCCTTCAGGGGTTATGAGTTTCTCATTGCATGTTGGCTTGGCGATCATTCAATCTTGATGTACAACCCACGCTAATGCGACCCCAGCATAATGAAGTGATTTGATGAATTGTCGGATGCAGGGAGTACGGAGAAGGCGAAACCACCCCACCGGAAAAGGAAGAGTGGGTGCGGACGGAACCACGGTCGAAGCGACCAGCACCCCCACAACTGAATCCTTTGACACCAAGTGGGGCTAATCTGCTGCATCCAAATGGGAACACAACCGAGCTCGCCGCAACACAGAAAAACTTGTAATGCAAAGCAACTGCTGCTTAATACCTTTTAACTTCCACAGAGGAATGGGTGAGTTGGAGTACATTGGGGGAACAAGTCCCACATGATTCACGGTCGTAGGTGTCACCAACCCAACAGGCAGCATAGTGGAGGCAGAATGTAAGAACTTCACCCGGTGGCACAGGCGACGAGCAAGTCTCAAATTCGCATAAGGCGAGAGCAGGCTCGGAAGAGGTATCCATAACACAACCGAGCCTGAGGGAGTTTACCAGAACTTGCAATGTGAATGAGGTCGAAAAGAATCCATGGCACTTTGGTCCACTACGCCTGTAAATCATGACAAAGCTGGCAACCAGGCCAGAGGATAGGCCAAGGGGGCAACAAAGGGTTTCCACCTCACACACCCTAGGCACACCTAATAAGGCGAAAGGCAAAACCCCCAAGCAAAAAGCAAGCGTAAAGTAATAAACAAAAACGCTGTTTTGTAATAAAACAAAAACCCTAATGGTAGTGTTTCCTAAACTAGGTGGAGAACTAGCCCCACGAGTGTGGGGTTAGTTTCAAAACGTTTTGGTTGTTATTGTTGTGAATGTTCATGTAACATTATGGGGCTACGGTCTAGTTTTAAACCATTCAATGGTCTGTTTTGATTCGCCTTTTTGGGTGCCTTCCGTAGGTGATGGCAAAGATCTCCTTGGGAAGTAATGTGATCATAGGTCATCGCTCCCTCTGCCTCTCTGAGGGGACCAGGTCCTGGCTCGTGATACCCATTAGACATACTCCAAGACTGATGACACTAAGGAATGTGGCACTTAATCAGTGTGATAGTTTCACGGGGCCGATGGGGTTCCCCTAAGAAAAATCGATTGATAAAGATACTATTCATGAATGAGGTCACAAAAGAGGTAATCTTGGTAAAAAAAGAGCATACATATAATTGTAACAGAATACAGAAATGTGATGGTTGTTTAATGCGTTGTTGTATTTTATTAGTTTGTTGTAATCCACAAGTTAGGAGGGAATATTAGCTAGAGAATCATTACTACAACACTAAACGAATGAGTATTGGAAGTACATGTTAAGTATACAGACTATGGTTACACATCCAGGGAAGGTCAAGGGATTAAGACCGCAGCTGCTTGGCCAAACTAATAATTCCAGGGAAGAGGACTCAGGCTTCTAGGAACAAGGTTACCGCTTCTAGGAACAAGGTTAATCGGATTATACCTTCCTTGAGAGGCGGGGTGAAATATTTGAGCCATGGCTGTCTGAAGACAGTCTGGTTATGGGAGTGGAACTGGCAAGTCCTCCGGATCTCCATCTGTGGCAGCAGCGAAGTGTAGCAGACAGCTATGTGAGAGCCTGATGTGACCTTAGTGACCAAGTTAAGTCTGCAGTATGTGAGTATTGAAAGTAAGACTAACCGGGTGTGGAGCGTTGTAGTAATCATTCAGTATTAGGGACTTAGGCGGAAGTTACGAGTGTAGGTGGTGACCGCGGAGGTCAAGTGGTTTACGGGTATTGGAAGTTTATTTAATTAGATAGTATATGTTAATATATTATTATTTGTCAGAGTCTATTCTTTATAATTAAATGAGAAATCCCAACGGCCATTAAATACCTTCCATATGCGCCCTCATTGTGTTCCTGTACAAACCTAGTGGTACGCCTCAAGGGTCTGGTGTGTGTAGAAGTACACGGTGGTAAAAACGGTTGCTGAGGCAAGGTGTTATATGTTGTGTAATCGCTGTGTTCGGAATGAACCAGGGTTCAGCGTTATAACAAGTCCAGATTAGGGTTCATGAAGTTAAAGGAAGGAAAGGGAACTATAAGGGGAACGTGCCAAGCCATCATGACTATATAGCACTTGGAAGGCGTCAGGATAAGGCTTTGGGATGGGACGGGGGGAAGGAATGGTGCCCAACTACTTGGGCGGTCTGTGATGGAACGCAGACCTGCATGAAGCAATAAAGTCGCTCTACCGTCCACCCCAAGTGGTTGGGCTGGAGTTTCCACAAACTTAATCCCAACTGACCGGATCTTTCTTAAAAAGCTATCAATAGGTAGTGATAAGAGAAACTCATTAACATTCATCAGTGTAATTCAACACCCACAATATACAAAGATAACATACACACAGACAAAGGCATACATTCAACATATTAATTATAAGTGATCCAGTACACAGGACTTACTAGTAACCTGTAATTAAGTGTCACCGACTGTGGTTTAGCATTATGTAGACAATAAATAATTGTACGAGTGAATAAGGAAATACACACGGTCTAGTCTCGTTGACTAGATCATAACAAGTATAGCTGGCATGTAAGGGGTGGCTGTTTCATACTAATGCGTATAGATGTTTCTAAAGGATGGCTCTTATACATTCCTTGGATAATGTCTTTCGTGGGAGCTACTGGATATTAGCTAAAAGAAGGTCCATAAAATACAAATTTAGAAATAAAGACGTTTTCTAACTTGTCAGGTGCCAGCGGGTAGCCTGCTGTTTTGGTGTTCTGTTCCTCAAGATGCTGGTTGAAGCCATGTGGTATGAGAGGGAACCAGAGAAGCCCAGTCCTGGAAGCCTTAGTCTGGGACCCTTCAACTTGAGCCCTGAAGTGGTGAGTTACTCCTACGTTCAGAACAGGTATGATACACAGCAGACCAAAACAAGTGTGTTACTCAGAAGTCACAAACAGGTCTATTGATTAGAAGACCACGACAGTTGGGTATGTATACTCAGGAGACCTGAGCGGGTATGTTACTTAGAAAACTAGAACAGTGTGTCATTCGGTACCCCAGAGCAGATACGGTTCTCAGGAGCTGGGGGCAGGTGTGTTTCTCAGGAGTCAAGAGCACGTGCTACTTAAGAGGTCTAAACAAGTGTATTAATTTGCATTCGTTCAACCTCAAGTAGTGATGATTTTGTTGTAACCATAAGTTTAGGATATGACATCACATGCCCCCCCCCCACAAGCGGTCCAATCACCTGTCCCATACGTTCCCCAAATGCCTTGCCAGATTCGGAATCAGTTGCTTCATCAGTTAAAATCTAATCTACTTGTTTATATTTGGAACTTTGCGAACTTTGGAACTTTGCGTATTTCATATCGCAAAGTGTAAATAATTGTGTTTTGTTATATATCATTCATTTTGGATGCTGTTAAGCGGAGATTATGTCGGTGTTATGCAAGTTTCTGTCAGAGTGATGTGCAACGTGAAGCTGATGTCAATGTTATGCAGGTTGGTATTGGTCTGATGAGTAACCTGATCGTCTTCCCACCGACAATACTCATGGTGTTGTTCTTCCGTAAGGCCCGACCCAGGAGACTCCGCAGGTCCCGCATCACCCTCGCGCTGGAGAGAACCAGTAAGTTATTATTGTGTTGTGAGGTAGACTTAGTGGACCAGTGAGTTTTTATGGTGTGTTGTGAGGTGGTCTTAGTGGACCAGTGAGTTATTATGGTGTGTTGTAGGGTAGTCTTGGTGGACCAGTGAGTTATTATGGTGTGTTGTAGGGTAGTCTTGGTGGACCAGTGAGTCATGGTGTGTTGTAGGGTAGTCTTGGTGGACCAGTGAGTCATGGTGTGTTGTAGGGTAGTCTTGGTGGACCAGTGAGTCATGGTGTGTTGTAGGGTAGTCTTGGTGGACCAGTGAGTCATGGTGTGTTGTAGGGTAGTCTTGGTGGACCAGTGAGTCATGGTGTGTTGTAGGGTAGTCTTGGTGGACCAGTGAGTCATGGTGTGTTGTAGGGTAGTCTTGGTGGACCAGTGAGTCATGGTGTGTTGTAGGGTAGTCTTGGTGGACCAGTGAGTCATGGTGTGTTGTAGGGTAGTCTTGGTGGACCAGTGAGTCATGGTGTGTTGTAGGGTAGTCTTGGTGGACCAGTGAGTCATGGTGTGTTGTAGGGTAGTCTTGGTGGACCAGTGAGTTATTATGGTGTGTTGTAGGGTAGTCTTGGTGGACCAGTGAGTCATGGTGTGTTGTAGGGTAGTCTTGGTGGACCAGTGAGTCATGGTGTGTTGTAGGGTAGTCTTGGTGGACCAGTGAGTCATGGTGTGTTGTAGGGTAGTCTTGGTGGACCAGTGAGTTATTATGGTGTGTTGTAGGGTAGTCTTGGTGGACCAGTGAGTCATGGTGTGTTGTAGGGTAGTCTTGGTGGACCAGTGAGTCATGGTGTGTTGTAGGGTAGTCTTGGTGGACCAGTGAGTTATTATGTGTGTTGTAGGGTAGTCTTGGTGGACCAGTAAGTCATGGTGTGTTGTAGGGTAGTCTTGGTGGACCAGTGAGTCATGGTGTGTTGTAGGGTAGTCTTGGTGGACCAGTGAGTCATGGTGTGTTGTAGGGTAGTCTTGGTGGACCAGTGAGTCATGGTGTGTTGTAGGGTAGTCTTGGTGGACCAGTGAGTCATGGTGTGTTGTAGGGTAGTCTTGGTGGACCAGTGAGTCATGGTGTGTTGTAGGGTAGTCTTGGTGGACCAGTGAGTCATGGTGTGTTGTAGGGTAGTCTTGGTGGACCAGTGAGTCATGGTGTGTTGTAGGGTAGTCTTGGTGGACCAGTGAGTCATGGTGTTGTAGGGTAGTCTTGGTGGACCAGTGGTCATGGTGTGTTGTAGGGTAGTCTTGGTGGACCAGTGAGTCATGTGTGTTGTAGGGTAGTCTTGGTGGACCAGTGAGTCATGGTGTGTTGTAGGGTAGTCTTGGTGGACCAGTGAGTCATGGTGTGTTGTAGGGTAGTCTTGGTGGACCAGTGAGTCATGGTGTGTTGTAGGGTAGTCTTGGTGGACCAGTGAGTCATGGTGTGTTGTAGGGTAGTCTTGGTGGACCAGTGAGTCATGGTGTGTTGTAGGGTAGTCTTGGTGGACCAGTGAGTCATGGTGTGTTGTAGGGTAGTCTTGGTGGACCAGTGAGTCATGGTGTGTTGTAGGGTAGTCTTGGTGGACCAGTGAGTCATGGTGTGTTGTAGGGTAGTCTTGGTGGACCAGTGAGTCATGGTGTGTTGTAGGGTAGTCTTGGTGGACCAGTGAGTCATGGTGTGTTGTAGGGTAGTCTTGGTGGACCAGTGAGTCATGGTGTTGTAGGGTAGTCTTGGTGGACCAGTGAGTCATGGTGTGTTGTAGGGTAGGTGGACCAGTGAGTCTTGGTGGACCAGTGAGTCATGGTGTGTTGTAGGGTAGTCTTGGTGGACCAGTGAGTCATGGTGTGTTGTAGGGTAGTCTTGGTGGACCAGTGAGTCATGGTGTGTTGTAGGGTAGTCTTGGTGGACCAGTGAGTCATGGTGTGTTGTAGGGTAGTCTTGGTGGACCAGTGAGTCATGGTGTGTTAGTAGGGTAGTCTTGGTGGACCAGTGAGTCATGGTGTGTTGTAGGGTAGTCTTGGTGGACCAGTGAGTCATGGTGTGTTGTAGGGTAGTCTTGGTGGACCAGTGAGTCATGGTGTGTTGTAGGGTAGTCTTGGTGGACCAGTGAGTCATGGTGTGTTGTAGGGTAGTCTTGGTGGACCAGTGAGTCATGGTGTGTTGTAGGGTAGTCTTGGTGGACCAGTGAGTCATGGTGTGTTGTAGGGTAGTCTTGGTGGACCAGTGAGTCATGGTGTGTTGTAGGGTAGTCTTGGTGGACCAGTGAGTCATGGTGTGTTGTAGGGTAGTCTTGGTGGACCAGTGAGTCATGGTGTGTTGTAGGGTAGTCTTGGTGGACCAGTGAGTCATGGTGTGTTGTAGGGTAGTCTTGGTGGACCAGTGAGTCATGGTGTGTTGTAGGGTAGTCTTGGTGGACCAGTGAGTCATGGTGTGTTGTAGGGTAGTCTTGGTGGACCAGTGAGTCATGGTGTGTTGTAGGGTAGTCTTGGTGGACCAGTGAGTCATGGTGTGTTGTAGGGTAGTCTTGGTGGACCAGTGAGTCATGGTGTGTTGTAGGGTAGGGTAGTCTTGGTGGACCAGTGAGTCATGGTGTGTTGTAGGGTAGTCTTGGTGGACCAGTGAGTCATGGTGTGTTGTAGGGTAGTCTTGGTGGACCAGTGAGTCATGGTGTGTTGTAGGGTAGTCTTGGTGGACCAGTGAGTCATGGTGTGTTGTAGGGTAGTCTTGGTGGACCAGTGAGTCATGGTGTGTTGTAGGGTAGTCTTGGTGGACCAGTGAGTCATGGTGTGTTGTAGGGTAGTCTTGGTGGACCAGTGAGTCATGGTGTGTTGTAGGGTAGTCTTGGTGGACCAGTGAGTCATGGTGTGTTGTAGGGTAGTCTTGGTGGACCAGTGAGTCATGGTGTGTTGTAGGGTAGTCTTGGTGGACCAGTGAGTCATGGTGTGTTGTAGGGTAGTCTTGGTGGACCAGTGAGTCATGGTGTGTTGTAGGGTAGTCTTGGTGGACCAGTGAGTCATGGTGTGTTGTAGGGTAGTCTTGGTGGACCAGTGAGTCATGGTGTGTTGTAGGGTAGTCTTGGTGGACCAGTGAGTCATGGTGTGTTGTAGGGTAGTCTTGGTGGACCAGTGAGTCATGGTGTGTTGTAGGGTAGTCTTGGTGGACCAGTGAGTCATGGTGTGTTGTAGGGTAGTCTTGGTGGACCAGTGAGTCATGGTGTGTTGTAGGGTAGTCTTGGTGGACCAGTGAGTCATGGTGTGTTGTAGGGTAGTCTTGGTGGACCAGTGAGTCATGGTGTGTTGTAGGGTAGTCTTGGTGGACCAGTGAGTCATGGTGTGTTGTAGGGTAGTCTTGGTGGACCAGTGAGTCATGGTGTGTTGTAGGGTAGTCTTGGTGGACCAGTGAGTCATGGTGTGTTGTAGGGTAGTCTTGGTGGACCAGTGAGTCATGGTGTGTTGTAGGGTAGTCTTGGTGGACCAGTGAGTCATGGTGTGTTGTAGGGTAGTCTTGGTGGACCAGTGAGTCATGGTGTGTTGTAGGGTAGTCTTGGTGGACCAGTGTCAGTCATGGTGTCATGGTGTGTAGGGTAGTCTTGGTGGACCAGTGTCATGGTGTGTTGTAGGGTAGTCTTGGTGGACCAGTGTCATGGTGTGTTGTAGGGTAGTCTTGGTGGACCAGTGAGTCATGGTGTGTTGTAGGGTAGTCTTGGTGGACCAGTGAGTCATGGTGTGTTGTAGGGTAGTCTTGGTGGACCAGTGAGTCATGGTGTGTTGTAGGGTAGTCTTGGTGGACCAGTGAGTCATGGTGTGTTGTAGGGTAGTCTTGGTGGACCAGTGAGTCATGGTGTGTTGTAGGGTAGTCTTGGTGGACCAGTGAGTCATGGTGTGTTGTAGGGTAGTCTTGGTGGACCAGTGAGTCATGGTGTGTTGTAGGGTAGTCTTGGTGGACCAGTGAGTCTTATGGACCAGTGAGTCATGGTGTGTTGTAGGGTAGTCTTGGTGGACCAGTGAGTCATGGTGTGTTGTAGGGTAGTCTTGGTGGACCAGTGAGTCATGGTGTGTTGTAGGGTAGTCTTGGTGGACCAGTGAGTCATGGTGTGTTGTAGGGTAGTCTTGGTGGACCAGTGAGTCATGGTGTGTTGTAGGGTAGTCTTGGTGGACCAGTGAGTCATGGTGTGTTGTAGGGTAGTCTTGGTGGACCAGTGAGTCATGGTGTGTTGTAGGGTAGGTGGACCAGTGAGTCATGGTGGAGTCATGGTAGGGTAGTCTTGGTGGACCAGTGAGTCATGGTGTGTTGTAGGGTAGTCTTGGTGGACCAGTGAGTCATGGTGTGTTGTAGGGTAGTCTTGGTGGACCAGTGAGTCATGGTGTGTTGTAGGGTAGTCTTGGTGGACCAGTGAGTCATGGTGTGTTGTAGGGTAGTCTTGGTGGACCAGTGAGTCATGGTGTGTTGTAGGGTAGTCTTGGTGGACCAGTGAGTCATGGTGTGTTGTAGGGTAGTCTTGGTGGACCAGTGAGTCATGGTGTGTTGTAGGGTAGTCTTGGTGGACCAGTGAGTCATGGTGTGTTGTAGGGTAGTCTTGGTGGACCAGTGAGTCATGGTGTGTTGTAGGGTAGTCTTGGTGGACCAGTGAGTCATGGTGTGTTGTAGGGTAGTCTTGGTGGACCAGTGAGTCATGGTGTGTTGTAGGGTAGTCTTGGTGGACCAGTGAGTCATGGTGTGTTGTAGGGTAGTCTTGGTGGACCAGTGAGTCATGGTGTGTTGTAGGGTAGTCTTGGTGGACCAGTGAGTCATGGTGTGTTGTAGGGTAGTCTTGGTGGACCAGTGAGTCATGGTGTGTTGTAGGGTAGTCTTGGTGGACCAGTGAGTCATGGTGTGTTGTAGGGTAGTCTTGGTGGACCAGTGAGTCATGGTGTGTTGTAGGGTAGTCTTGGTGGACCAGTGAGTCATGGTGTGTTGGGTAGTCTTGGTGGACCAGTGAGTCTTGTGTTGTAGGGTAGTCTTGGTGGACCAGTGAGTCATGGTGTGTTGTAGGGTAGTCTTGGTGGACCAGTGAGTCATGGTGTGTTGTAGGGTAGTCTTGGTGGACCAGTGAGTCATGGTGTGTTGTAGGGTAGTCTTGGTGGACCAGTGAGTCATGGTGTGTTGTAGGGTAGTCTTGGTGGACCAGTGAGTCATGGTGTGTTGTAGGGTAGTCTTGGTGGACCAGTGAGTCATGGTGTGTTGTAGGGTAGTCTTGGTGGACCAGTGAGTCATGGTGTGTTGTAGGGTAGTCTTGGTGGACCAGTGAGTCATGGTGTGTTGTAGGGTAGTCTTGGTGGACCAGTGAGTCATGGTGTGTTGTAGGGTAGTCTTGGTGGACCAGTGAGTCATGGTGTGTTGTAGGGTAGTCTTGGTGGACCAGTGAGTCATGGTGTGTGTTGGTAGGGTAGTCTTGGTGGACCAGTACCAGTCATGGTGTGTTGTGAGGTGGACTTAGTGGACCAGTGAGTCATGGTGTGTTGTAGGGTAGTCTTGGTGGACCAGTAAGTCATGGTGTGTTGTGAGGTGGACTTAGTGGACCAGTGAGTCATGGTGTGTTGTAGGGTAGTCTTGGTGGACCAGTGAGTCATGGTGTGTTGTAGGGTAGTCTTGGTGGACCAGTGAGTCATGGTGTGTTGTAGGGTAGTCTTGGTGGACCAGTGAGTCATGGTGTGTTGTAGGGTAGTCTTGGTGGACCAGTAAGTCATGGTGTGTTGTGAGGTGGACTTAGTGGACCAGTGAGTCATGGTGTGTTGTAGGGTAGTCTTGGTGGACCAGTGAGTCATGGTGTGTTGTAGGGTAGTCTTGGTGGACCAGTGAGTCATGGTGTGTTGTAGGGTAGTCTAGGTGGACCAGTGAGTCATGGTGTGTTGTAGGGTAGTCTTGGTGGACCAGTGAGTCATGGTGTGTTGTAGGGTAGTCTTGGTGGACCAGTGAGTCATGGTGTGTTGTAGGGTAGTCTTGGTGGACCAGTGAGTCATGGTGTGTTGTGAGGTGGTCTTAGTGGACCAGTGAGTCATGGTGTGTTGTAGGTAGTCTTGGTGGACCAGTGAGTCATGGTGTGTTGTAGGGTAGTCTTGGTGGACCAGTGAGTCATGGTGTGTTGTAGGGTAGTCTTGGTGGACCAGTGAGTCATGGTGTGTTGTAGGGTAGTCTTGGTGGACCAGTGAGTCATGGTGTGTTGTAGGGTAGTCTTGGTGGACCAGTGAGTCATGGTGTGTTGTAGGGTAGTCTTGGTGGACCAGTGAGTCATGGTGTGTTGTGAGGTGGACTTAGCTAACCAGTGAATCAGTGTTTTTTGTGAGGTACTTTTATTACTCCCCAAAATTATATATTACAAATATTTTCTTTGTAAATACAAGATAAAATATTAACAATAATCAAAATATCTAAAAATGGCCAGCTCTCTAAACTGTATTTTCCGAGTTTTATTTTGATATTGATCATAAATTATTCTTTATCTCTATATTTTCTTACAACTGTTAAACTAAACGATTGTTGACCTGACCATTACCTTCACAGTCCTTCACTTGATCCACACTACCCAATATGACCACTGTTAAACATTAACGCACTGTCATACCTTGCCACACTGCCATACCTTGCCACTCTGTCATACCTTGCCACACTGTCATACCTTGCCACACTGTCATACCTTGCCACACTGTCATACCTTGCCACACTGCCATACCTTGCCACTCTGTCATACCTTGCCACACTGTCATACCTTGCCACACTGTCATACCTTGCCACTCTGTCATACCTTGCCACACTGTCATACCTTGCCACACTGTCATACCTTGCCACTCTGTCATACCTTGCATCACTGCCATACCTTGCATCACTGCCATACCTTGCATCACTGCCATACCTTGCATCACTGCCATACCTTGCATCACTGTCATACCTTGCATCACTGTCATACCTTGCATCACTGCCATACCTTGCATCACTGCCATACCTTGCATCACTGCCATACCTTGCATCACTGCCATACCTTGCATCACTGTCATACCTTGCATCACTGCCATACCTTGCATCACTGCCATACCTTGCATCACTGTCATACCTTGCATCACTGTCATACCTTGCATCACTGCCATACCTTGCATCACTGTCATACCTTGCATCACTGCCATACCTTGCATCACTGCCATACCTTGCATCACTGCCATACCTTGCATCACTGTCATACCTTGCATCACTGCCATACCTTGCATCATTGCCATACCTTGCATCACTGTCATACCTTGCATCACTGCCATACCTTGCATCACTGTCATACCTTGCATCACTGCCATACCTTGCATCACTGTCATACCTTGCATCACTGCCATACCTTGCATCACTGCCATACCTTGCATCACTGCCATACCTTGCATCACTGCCATACCTTGCATCACTGCCATACCTTGTATCACTGTCATACCTTGCATCACAGCCATACCTTGCATCATTGCCATACCTTGCATCACTGCCATACCTTGCATCACTGCCATACCTTGCATCACTGTAATACCTTGCATCACTGCCATACCTTGCATCACTGCCATACCTTGCATCACTGCCATACCTTGCATCACTGCCATACCTTGCATCACTGCCATACCTTGCATCACTGCCATACCTTGCATCACTGCCATACCTTGCATCACTGCCATACCTTGCATCACTGCCATACCTTGCATCACTGTCATACCTTGCATCACTGCCATACCTTGCATCATTGCCATACCTTGCATCACTGTCATACCTTGCATCACTGCCATACCTTGCATCACTGTCATACCTTGCATCACTGCCATACCTTGCATCACTGTCATACCTTGCATCACTGCCATACCTTGCATCACTGCCATACCTTGCATCACTGCCATACCTTGAATCACTGTCATACCTTGCATCACAGCCATACCTTGCATCATTGCCATACCTTGCATCACTGCCATACCTTGCATCACTGCCATACCTTGCATCACTGTAATACCTTGCATCACTGCCATACCTTGCATCACTGCCATACCTTGCATCACTGCCATACCTTGCATCACTGCCATACCTTGCATCACTGCCATACCGTGAGACATTGTTATGCCGTGCCACATTCCCATACAATGCCACATTGTCATACCGTGCCACACTGTCATACCGTGGCACATTGTCATACCGTGCCACATTGTGCTATATTGTCATTCAGTTCAACTCTTTAAATCAAAAATTGTTGTAAGTTCTTACAAGTTTTCACCGAGAAATATTTTTTATCTGCAGGATTATCAAAGAGCCAAAACAGTGAGAGTTGCAGTCGGTCTTCTGATGCAGCTCATCATCCACCTCACTCACCTCCACACTCATCTGACTCACCTCTACAGTCTGGTGAACTATCCCATGAGTCACGGCACTCAAATGAACCTGAAAAGTCTGAGGAAAAAATGTAAGTTTCGATTTGTGTCATCTTTATATCTTTCATATATTGTAATTTAAACATACATTTATGCCATATATATATATATATATATATATATATATATATATATATATATATATATATATATATATATATATTATATATATATATTTATATATATATATATATATATATATATATATATATATATATATATATATATATATATATATATATATATATATATATATATATATATATATATATATATATATATATATATATATATATATATTCAGAGGTTGCTTCTCCAATGGTTTCGTTGAAGACATCATAAGAAGGAAGGGGAAACGCCATGCAACCTCTGAAGAGACAACAAACACAACACCTGTACCTCCTATTAGACTATTTTACAGGAACTTCTTTTCCACAGCTCATAAAACGGAGGAAAGGGTCCTGAAAGATATTGTTAATAGAAACGTTATCCCTACAGATAAAAATCAGAAAGATACAATTGACGATCTACTATAAAATCAAGAAAACGGCCAACCTACTCATGAGAAACTCTCCAGACACAAAGCAAAACGCTTTAAAAGAGACCAATGTCGTCTATGCCTTCAAATGCCCACTTGGGGACTGTAAGCCTCAAAGAATTCAGTATATAGGCAAGACAACAACAACATCTCTTTCCAGGCGATTAACGATGCATAAGCAACAGGGCTCCATTAAGGAACATATAATCTCTTCCCATAACCAGACCATCACCAGAGAAGTCTTAACAAAAAACACGGAAATCATCGATAGATACAGCGATAGCAGGCGGCTAGATATCTGCGAGACACTACACATTAAGAAGTCGACACCAGCAATCAACAGCCAATTAATGCACAACTATCTTCTACCCACTTCAAGACTCCGCACCAATATAGAAGCATCAAGAAATATGGGCCAATAGGCCCTTTGCAGTTACTTTCATTCTTCCCTTTAACTTACAAAATATTATACCCATTGTTTCGTGTTCTGTCTTGTGTTGAAAGTTTGTTTTCATCTCATCCAAAACTGTTGTAACATATCACCTCACCCAAATGCAGGTATAAAAAATCGAAGATGTTTAAGCTCTGTTCAGTTATAGTTGTGTGTGTGTAAACTAAAGTCTTTGAAAATGTAATAAGTTTTATGAAACGCGCTCAAGTGTCGCGTCAGACTAGAAATAAAAATGAATTTTGGAGAATTGATTTTTCAGTTACCATCAACAGTGATGAAAAATATAAGAAACATTGAGAAAATTTGTGTTAGAATTATTAATCTTACTATTTCCGTCATATATATATATATATATATATATATATATATATATATATATATATATATATATATATATATATATATATATATATATATATATATATATATATTCCTTATTAGTAGTCCTAATAAGGAAAGATTCAAGAAGCAACTAACTGCTGCCCAGCTGGAATGTTAGAATTTTCCTGAATACTAGTGAAGCTCAGAGGAATTAGCTGGGCAGCGGTTAGTTGCTTCTGGCATCTTTCCAACCACCAAAATATATGTATGAGCTGCCTCACAGGAAACCACCGATACTAGCAAAATAATATAACCTATACCAAAAACATTATCAAATTTTTTATGACTAACAACAGCTGAAGACTAATCCACATTATTTAGAGAAACAAAAACCAACCAAAGACATAAACTTTGACACTGCGATCCAATGGATACTTGCAAGAAACGGCAATATTTTCTTGATACGTGTAGTTGTCATTCTTGACGTGGTATGAAACTCTGGCATTTCCTGACAAAACTCTGGCATTTCCTGACAAAACTCTGGCATTTCCTGACAAAACTCTGGCATTTCCCGACAAAACTCTGGCATTTCCTGACAATACTCTGGCATTTCCTGACAAAACTCTGGCATTTCCTGACAAAACTCTGGCATTTTCTGACAAAACTCTGGCATTTCCCGACAAAACTCTGGCATTTTCAGACACTACCAAGACCGGTGCGTGAGCCTATTGTCATTATCAAGTCATTTTACCCCGTACAGTGAGAAGAGCATCACTCTGCCCTGGTGGTTCATGCTGATTGCCTGGGCCTTAGCCGTCGTGTGTATTAGTGTGTCCTGTTTCTTCCTGCTCATGTACGGCATCACGTTTGGTAACGAGAAGACTACTAAGTGGATATCAGCCCTCATTATCTCCTTCTTCACGGAAATTCTCCTTCAGGAACCTATAAAGGTAAAGATTCCTGTGTGTGTGTGTGTGTGTGTGATCCCTTATTTAACTTTTCCTTCTCACTTAAGTGTTCCTAACTTGCATATTAAATTTTACCTGTTAGAACAATTATCGCATGTCTATTTTCACCGAGGTAATACACGTCTCATCGTAATCGTTCGTAAGGTTTGTGTCTCTCACTGAAAGCACCGATTACACAGTAAACCATTAACAACGACACGTGACCGGTGCAAGCATCAGTACATGTAATAGAGATGCTCGCAATTATATTGTCTAATATAGGGAGATGATGTACAGATGATGCCTGTCTCACACGCAACGGTTTTTATATTTCACAATTTATATTTTTATAATATCGTTTCAAGAACTGATCGTGTAATAATGAGTAATTCCTAATTCTCTACAGTGTTTCACTGGTTCAGACTCTGTGAACATTATTGTGGTGGTGAGTGGCAAGAGAAACAAAGCACTGAGTGAAGCTGTGAACTACCAGTTACGTCTCTTTAATACTTTAGCTGGGAGGCAGTACTCTGTTAACCTTCTTTTGACCTCTGAAACACTTCTAAATCACCACTTAATCTTATCCCATATGTGTATATAAACTCACCAAGAGTAGTATGTTGTTGTTGTTGTTTTAGGTTTAGCTACTCAAAACGAAATGTCCATGTATCACAGGCTATGGTGACCCCGTAATTGAGTTCGGTTATTCGCGATTACCTTGTTTCTCTGATATTTGGGTTAAAGTTTTAAATGGAGAAGGGATTTCCTCCTTTTTCCCTGTTTCTTTTTTATTCTGTTTTAGTGCACTGGTTTTAGTCTTGTTTTAATAACATTATCTTGGTGGCGGATGTAGATGCAGAATTTTCACTAGTGAGTCCCATTCTTCAACGGCTTTTCTAATCATTGTAGTCGCTGTGGAATGTGCATCTAATGCAGCTGCTGTCGTTGGATGAATGTTGAGTTATTATGTTAATAATACGCAGGACTTCAGTAGCTTCACATTCCAGTAAGTAGTGCAATAGTCGCACTTGTGCTTCTGTTCCACAGATATGACACTCTAACTACAGGGTTTATTACCTCCAGCAGCACTTGTAACTAAGTCTGAGTCTGTGTATGGCTACTCCAATGTCTCTGGATATCTTTTTGTCTGGCTTGAAAGAGTAGTACCCAGTGCTTGTTCGTACCATGTCGTAGTGGATCCTCCTTCCGCTACTTTGGCTCTGTGGTGACTTTTGATAGTTGGGAGTATTTTCTTCCTGATTTGCTCCTTAATCTGTAAAAAACTTGGAGGTATTTGAACCTGTACAACAGGTAGAGCAGTGGCAGTTTTTGCTAATGAGTCTGCCTTTTCATTACCATCTATGCCAATGTGACTTAGTATCCAATTTAGGGTGATTGACAGCCCTAGATTATGGGCTTTTTTCCCTATATGTTGGATTTGTGTGTGTTGTATATTATCTCTGTGCTGACTGAATAACAATGCCTGGAGCGAAGATTTAGAGTCGGTATGAATGATGAAATCATGTAAATTATTATCAATTGTATAGTTTATGGCCTCCTTCAGGGCATATAATTTTGTTTGCGATGTTGAGCACCCACTCTTCATGCTCCAGTAAGCTTCATGGTTGGTAGTGTAAACTGCTGCCCCAGCAGAACCTCTTTCTTGATCAACTGATCCGTCTGTGAAGATGTGAGCAGTTGTCGATCTTGAGATGGTTTCTATTTGTCGTTCTATGACTGCTTTGAGCCTCTGTGGGTCACATGCTGATTTTTTAAATGGTAATCCTAAGAAAATACAGTGTGTGTTAGATTTATACCATTAAGAGGTCAGATGAAAACAAGTAGACCTATACAAATGGATCAAGAATAATGCATGAAGGAGGGGGGGGGGAGGAAAGGTGTAAAAGAAAAAGGCGAAAATAGGGGACGAAGCACATACAAAGATTAATCAGGTGTAGTGGGCGTAGCATGTTGAGCAGTGTCTTCTATGTTGGCATCTTCACGTTCCGGTCTTGTTCTTACTCTCATGGTGGGTAGAGTGAATAGTTCCGTAATCTGGGTATTTATGGTAGGTTGTCCTATTTTTATGTGGATTGCTTCAAGAATTTGTAATCTTCTTACATCTTGAGTTTTGTCTATTATACAAGTGTTTTCATGCAACATTTCTCTTGTTAGGGTGATGTCATGGGCTTGTTTCATGTGATTTTTGGGGGCACCTGAATGAAGATGACAGGTCAAACGCCTCGTCAGCTTGTTCGACGTCATAACTATGTACTTAGATTGAAGGTTACATCCTCCGTGGGGGCAGGTTGTTAGGCACGAGATTGAAAGCCGTTCCCTAAAGTATCGCTAACAACACCCGCTCTTACTTTCTTATAAATAGTGGAAGTGCAGGGGTTATATAGTAATAATCATCAGTTCTAACTACATGGGACAAGAAATACACCTTGGGGTACAATTTTTCAACAAGAATTTTATTTAACAAATACCATATTTCTTCACACTTCTTAGAACAGGGGAAGGGTGGTGTACTTGGATCCACCACAGGATTGATACAAACGAAATGGGGGAGGGAGGGAGGTTCCATCTCTCTGTACAACTTGGGACTTAAGTTAAGGTCATTACTCTATTCCACTCCTCATAGGTCACTACAAAGGGCCTGGGTTTACAAATGGGTATACAAAATAAATGTGGATAACCCCCATGTGACACACAGCTGAGCACATACACCTGCATTAACAGCACCACTCTCCCTACACACAGGGTTCCAAAAATCCTTATTTTCACAAACTTCTATCTCTAACTCATAAAGAAAAGGGGAAGCACCGCTATAAACAGCTATAATACTGCACTTATTGTATTTGTTGGAGACCATCCACAACACTGGTGTGGTTCTCACTGCCTTCATCTCCCAAGTGACTGATAGGGGCTTGCACATGTCCCTGCCTGCCTGGTTCCAATAATGTTCCCTCCCTATACATGGCATACACATTTCCCAATACTTCATTTATATGTCTTATAATATTCCAGGCTGTTTTTCTACATTTAACTGTTGTTTCTCTATATTTTCTTGCATTGAATCTGCTTTTTCTTAACCATTTTATTCCTTTTGTTTACATTTTTTTTTTAGGAGATTGCATTTTCCTGTTGAGATGATGCTCTGTGCATCTGACAGAGGTCAGAGTTCCAGACTGTTTTTAACACTGTTTAACACTGCTATTTCTCCCTACACAAGGATCTCTCTCCTACATAACTGTTTTTCAACATTTAACACTGCTATTTCTCCCTACACAATGGTCTCTCTCAATAGCACTTCTTTTTCTCCCTACACAAGGGTCTCTCTCTTACAAGGTGTACATATGAGAGAGGAGAGAGAGAGTTTTGTTTTTCAAATTGTAACAATAAACTAGCAGTCTTAACTGTAGAAGGGTGATGCAGCTCCTATGTATATCCACCCAATCCCATTCATATACTTGTCATTGTACCTCACTTCACCTCACTTCACCTCTTTCTAATGCCTATATATGCCAAAACCTATGAACTTGTAAATTCATCCTTCTGAAGATGTATTATTAAATACGAGTGTACTTATGGAAATTCCTGTTTCATTTCTACCTTTGTGGTCAGACATTGTCACATTTTTCATCGCGTGTTAATTTTCCTGATTTACACACACACACACACACACACACACACACACACACACACACACACACACACACACACACACACACACACACACACACACACACACACACACACACACACACACACACACACACACACACACACACACACACACACACACACACACACACACACACACACACACACACACACACACACAGGGGGGCCTCGTAGCCTGGTGGATAGCGCGCAGGATTCGTAATTCTGTGGCGCGGGTTCGATTCCCGCACGAGGCAGAAACAAATGGGCAAAGTTTCTTTCACCCTGAATGCCCCTGTTACCTAGCAGTAAATAGGTACCTGGGAGTTAGTCAGCTGTCACGGGCTGCTTCCTGGTGTGTGTGTGTGTGGTGTGGAAAAAAAAAAAAAAAAAAAGTAGTTAGTAAACAGTTGATTGACAGTTGAGAGGCGGGCCGAAAGAGCAAAGCTCAACCCCCGTAAAAACACAACTAGTAAACACACACACACACACACACACACACACACACACACACACACACACACACACACACACACACACACACACACACACACACACACACACACACACACACACACACAGCTGGAGAGACAGGAACGTGTAGCTGGTAAGGTGCTCCAGTGGATAAGGGAGTACCTAAGCAATAGGAAGTAGACAGTTACGGTGAGGGGTGAGACCTCAGATTGGCGTGAAGTCACCAGTAGAGTCCCACAGGGTAAATGATCTCCTTGAGGGTATAAATTAATTTCTCTCAATGTTTGCTGACGACGCCAAAGTTATGAGAAGGATTAAGACACAGGAGGACTGCTTGAGGCTTCAAGAAGAGCTGAAGGAATGGTCGAACAAATGGTTGTTAGAGTTTAACCCAAGCAAATGTAATGTAATGAAGATAGGTGTGTTATATATATTGTGACGGTGTTCCCCCCCTTATATTTCTCCCACACCTGCAGTAAGAGTCATGTCTACTTTTCCCAAGCGTTCTCTACGTAGCAGGCTACAATTTGATATATGGGAGAGAGTGAAGTGTTCTCGGAGAGCCGAGAAATTTGTGAAATAGTAATATTTTGGCCTGTGGTATAGGCCCTTTAGGGAGCCAAGATGGCGCTTGCCTCCCTGATTTCCCGCCAAAACCGTGTGACGTCAGTGGCACCGGATTGGTCACCGACAGCAATGTGGCACCGGGAGCCAATGAAAACCTCCCGTGGCGAAAGTGACGTCACGAAGGAAGGGTGTCCGGCCAGCGCGCCGAGCTGGCGCCAGCAGTCAAACACGACACGTCAAAGCGGTCGGACGTGCGACGATTGGTCCTGTCAGTTTGACAGATGTTTCCCGCTCCC